GCAGGCACCCTGGTGCTGGCTGCCAAGCGCACTAACTCATAGGCGCCTCTGCTTCATGGCATCGGGTCTGGATTTCGGCCCCCACCTCCTGGCACTCTGTCCACTGGTCACAACAGCTCCTGCTTCTCCGGCGCTGGCCATCTTCCTGGGGGCTGTACCCCCGTGGTGACTTCGTGATGTCATCACTCCCCGATTATCTGTGAGCAAGCTGAGGCTCTGAGCAGGGAAGCCATCTGCCCAAGGTCCCTGCCCAGCAATGGGTGGTCGAGCCACCGTGCTTCAAGCCCCGGGTGACTCCGGAAGCTCTGACTGCTGTGTGACACCGTCCCTGGGCAGGGGGCGGGCAGGGGAGGCGGAGAGGTTTAAGGCGTGGCTTCTGCCTTGCTAGAGTTCAAAGTTCAGGGCTTCCCACCTCCCGGGCCCCCTGGACACTGCTGGGAACAGGCCTCTAGTGGCAGCTGGCCCCAGTCCTGCTCCCCAAAGGGCCTGGCAGGGAGTCACTGGTGGCTGCCACAAGCCTGGGCACTGCCCAGTGCCCTGGCAAAAATGCCAGGGAGCTGGTGGGGGAGGCGGGGGGGGGGGGAGGAGGACGCAGAGAGCGGGTGGGGAAGATGGTGAGTAAAGTTTCCCCATCAGGGCTCCGAGAACAGACCCGCGCCCTTTCTGTCCTGAGTGAGCTGGCAGGGCCAGCTTGGGGCAATGGGGAAAAAGCCGCCTGTGTCTGCCTGGAAGTCACCCTCCAGCTCAAAAATTAACCGCCTGACCTGGCATTCTCTTTCCCCCCCTCCCCGCCTGTGTTTCTGGCCTGCAGACTTTAATCCCTGGGGTAATGGATTGGCTACGACTGAGAGCTGGGATTTCTTTGGTAGGGGCAATGGGGGTGGGGATTGTCAGCCTTCCAGTAAGAGTTGCCTGCGTTGGGTTGGCATGAATGGGGCTGCTCAGGGACTGTGGGGACCTCCCTTTCTTGCTCCTGCCCAGGGCCAGGACTAGGGTAAACCAGGTGAGGCCCCCACGGAGCAAAGTTCAAGTTGGGATCGCCGTCAGGGTTGTGCACCAGCCTCACCCCAGTCTCAGCCCCAGTAAAGCTCAGGGCACAGTAGTCTTTTCATGGAAATAAGGTAAAACCAGTCCTTACCTCTGACTTGCTGTGTGACCTCAGGCAAGCCACTTTCCTTCTCTGGGCGACCACTGTACTGAGAAGGGTTAGATTAGATGGGGATTTCTCAATGTCACTGACATTACTGGGAATGAATAACTCTCCATTGTAAGGCTGTCCTGGGCCCTGCGGGGACTTCAGTAGCACAAAACCACTCCCTGTTGAGAATGTTTAAGTGATTTCAGATCCATTCTGGCTGTCGCATTGTAAGATTTTATTTTAAGATTTAAGAAAAGTATTTTTGAAGCCCAACTTTAAGAAACTGAACTTGAATTAATAATAAAGTAACATTAACACGTGGTTATCAATAATGTATCCAACGCACCAAGAGCACATATGTATTGAGCATTCCCGTGTGTCCATCCCTGGGTCAGTGGTTCTCTTATGTTAAATAGAGCACTCTCCGAGGTAGGTGCTGTTATCGTGTGCCCGCAGCAGGTAGGGAAACCGAGGCAGAGCGCATTAAGTAACTGGCCCAGGATCACACAGCCAGAGCGTAGAAGGCTTGCTGATTCCAAAGCCCATGCTGTTTCTACTGTGCATGTCTATCGCAGCAAGGTTAGGAAATGCAGATCAGTGAGAGGTACTACCAGGTGGAAGAACTTCTGGTTTAAGTTGGTAGAAACCATCCACCTTTCTGAAGCAGTCTGTAAACAGCTGCCAAAAGTAACAAAGGGAGAAGAGAACGTCATCTGTTTTTTTAAGATTTTATTTATTCATTTTTAGAGAGGGAAGGGAGAGAGAAAGAGAGAGAGAGAGAGAGAGAGAGAGAAACATCAATGTGGTTACTGGGAGCCATGGCCTGCAACCCAGGCATGTGCCCTGACTGGGAATCGAACCTGCGACACTGAGAACGTCATCTTTGAAGAGAAGGGCAGACCACAGCCCATGCCTGGTGTGTCAAGAGGAGGCAACAATGACACTGGGATTTGAATCGAAGGGCAGAAGGAAACCAAGAGCCAGCCGTGCAGGCCTCTCTAGCTCCCAGACAGGACGCAGACTTCCCCGGAAGTGTTCTCCAGCTCTAGGAGCTCTTCCCAGTCCTGGCAAAGCCTGGGGAACACGCAGGGGGAAGGGGCAAGCGCTGAGACACAAGGGACGGGACGGAGTTCAGAAGAGCCGGAGGAGGGGGCTGGAAGGCCCCCGGTGAGACGCAGGGTATTGGAAGTCGGGTGGGAGAGAGGGGATGGATGATGATCAGCTAAACGGTTGGAATTGTTCTAATCTTCTCTCTCTGTCCGTCAAAGAGACATAAAAGCTGAAAGAGACACCAAGGAACTGTGACATTCTTGGGCCTCCGCACTGAGTCTCCACAGCTTGCCTAATGCTTGGAGCAGACACATTTCAGGGTCGCGATGGCGACCCAGGACTCTGAGAGCACCAGCAGCGCGGTTGCTCAGACACCTGCTGGCCCAGCCCCTGCCGGCCCCTCCCCCACACTCGCCTGTAACAGAGTGTCCCCAATCCGGCGCTGAATGGTCAGCATGGGAACCACAACGAGACCGTGTGAGAAACAAGAAGAAAAGGGACGATGAATAAAAAGTGAAGAATAAATACTGAATAGGTGTGTTATGATGTTGGAGAAGCTGCTGAGCAGATATTTCTCCATGAAATATCAGAAAAATTGAAGGATTTCAGTGGGATCCCCAGTGATGTACATACGCCCCAGATTATTACACCCGCTTTGCAGACGAACTGACGCAGGCTCAGAAGGTTCAGTGACCTGCTACAAACACTCAGCAGCAAAACCATTCTGCCCGGGCTTCCGGGCCCCGGGGTCTGAGTTCTCTAGGGCAGCTCTCTCCGACAGAACTTTCTGTGGCGATGGAAGTGCCGTAGACCCTCTATCCCGAACGGTAGCCGCGAGTCTCACGTGGCTGCTGAGCACTTGAACTGTAGCTCGTGTGACTGGGAATCCAGAATTCTAAATTTCATTTAACTGGAATGAATTGAAACTTAAATGGCCCTCTGCGGCCGGAAGCTACTGCATGCGGACAGCTCAGCTCTAGGAATGTCCTTGGCACTCTTTTCCCTTCCATTTCAGCCACCACTGCACCCCACCCGCGTCAGGCTCTCCCCACATCTGGCATCTGGGGTCAGGCTTTAAAATTAGGTCCGGGCTCAGCTGGTTGGAGTGTCGTCCCGTAAACCAAAGGGGCGCATGCCTGGACTGTGGGTTGTGGGTTGTGGGTTTGGTCACTGGTCAGGGCGCATATGAGAGGCAGCCGATCCAACGTTTCTCTCCCATACTGATGTTTCTCTTCCTCTCTCTCTCCCTCCCACCCCTTCTCTAAGATCAATAAGCATGTCCTCAGGTGAGGATAAAAAATAGAATAAAAATAAAAAAATAAAATAAAAAATGGAATAAAATTAGGACCAGAGTTCTTGCTTTTCTGGCTCCTGTCTTCTCGGGCACAGCTCCTGCAGCCTTCCCCGCCCCTGGAGGTTTCCGCTGAGTCACACCAGCTTTTCCTGGCCAAGGGGACAGTCCAGGGGTGTGGGGGTGGGAGATGTCTCACCTGCAGCCAGGACTCCACCTACCCTGGGCCCCCTTCTTGAAGCCGAACCTCTGGACAGAGCAAAGTGGCCAGGAGGCCAAGTGCTGACTCCGAGATGACCCAGAAAGGGGGCCTGTCCAGTCAGACACCTTCCCCAACCTTTGAACTCCAGGAGTTAAAATTCAAAGGAACAGGGTCTGGAGACCTCGGGACTCTGCCCTCTGCCCTCATCTGCTTTCTGTCTCCCTGAGTCTCACGGCTCTGGGCACCTCAAGAAGTGGGCAATCTTCCTCTTTCTGGGACTGGCTCAGTTCACTCAAGTGAGCACACCGTCTTCAAGGTCCATCCCTGTTGTCCCATGCAAAGGAACACCCCTCCTTTTTAGGGGCTGAATAATATTCCACAGGGTGTGTGTGTGTGTGTGTGTGTGTGTGTGTGTTACCTTTTTTCCTGTCCATCTGTCAGTGGACACTGGGTTGCTTCCACGTTTTAGCGGTTGTGCACAAGGCCGCTGTCACGCTGTGTGGCCGGGTGTTCAAATCCTCTTTGAGATCCTGCTTTCAGTTCCCTGGGGTGGATCCCCAGCAGTGGAAATGCTGGGCCATGTGGTAATTCTATTTAAGTTCTTGAGGAGCCGCCATACTGTTTTCCATAGCAGAGCTATGCCATTTTTATTCCCACCAGCCGGGCACCATAAAGTACTCGTCGCTATTGTTACTATTTATGGAGTGTGCACCAAGTGTTGGGCCTCGTGCTGCGTGCCGGGGGCAGATGTGGCAGTTGCTCCTGGTGCTCCCTCCATGTCCCCACTGGCACCGTCCTGCACACGCCAGTAGCTGCTCACTGGCGCTGAGATGCTCGGCATGTGGCTCTCGGCTGCACACGGGGGAGGCCGGAAGGGCGGGGCAGCGGATGCTCCTGGGTGCAGCCTGAAGCTAGTGATGGCCGGGGAATCAGCAGATAAATGGCTCAGCTTCTGAGGCATCAGCTACACCCTCTCCCAGGGTCCCCATCAGGATTGACCCCAGCGACCAACAGTTTCCCTTCTAGAGCTTTCTGGGATCCCCTACTAAGTAACCAGTTTTCGGTCTCATGCTTGTCTCAGGGTCTCCTAAGACGATGGGGTATTTCATGTCATCCTCAAACGGTCCTGCACACTGGGCAGATAGAGCTTCCCTCTTTTGTAGGCAAGCATCATGAGGCTCAGCGAGGTGACGCCACCTGCTTGAGGTCAGAGCTGTGGACACCTGGCCTGCCTCCTGCCTCCCCGCGGGCCTCTCCTCCCTCCGCCACCCTGCGCTCTGCTGACCCTCCTGAGCCCGCGTCTCCCCTCCTTCCTGCAGGAAGGCCGCTGTCTGTTTGTCATCCTGCTCATGGCGGTGTACTGGTGCACGGAGGCCCTGCCCCTCTCGGTGACGGCCCTGCTGCCCATCACCCTCTTCCCCCTCCTGGGCATCCTGCGGTCCAGCGTGGTCTGCCCCCAGTACTTCCTGGACACCAACTTCCTCTTCCTCAGCGGCCTGATCATGGCCACCGCCATCGAGGAGTGGAACCTGCACCGGAGAATCGCCCTCAAGATCCTGACGCTCGTTGGGGTCCAGCCAGCCTGGTAAGGCCGGGGAACGGGTCCGGCCCCAGCCAAGGTGGGGGGCGGAGGGGTCCCATCTCCTGGAGCCCAAATGCGCTCTGGCTTGGTGCTCACCCAGGCCAACCAACTCATCGTGCCCCGCCTTCCACGCACTCACATGTCTAATGAGCCCCCTCTGCACGCCAGACACGGTGCCAGGCCCTTGGGGTGGTGGGGAGTCTCTAGAGGGTGTAAGAATCCCTGGGACATGGGTTGAAATGCTGCTGCTCAGCCTCCACCCTCAGGGAGTTGTGTCCAGTCGTTTTAGAGGGGGCCATTTCGCAGTATGACCGCTCAGGACTGAAGGCCACCTTCCCTGTTCTGGGAAATGACTTTCTCTGTCTGTAAAATGGCAACAGGACAGCCTAGACCTGCACGGCAAATGCCAGCCGCCACTAGCACCCCGGTTTGCTGTTTACCAGCCAAGTGATGGGGTGGGTGGGGGGTGGGTGGAAACGGCCTTAGAGAGACAGGAGGTGCGGTCCATTCCTGCAGGGCCTCAGGGTCCTGGCTGGGATTTGAACTTATATTTTAAGAGGAATGAATGACCTCTTAAACAGGGTCATTGTTGAACTTCCATGTTTTTTCTTTGGTGAATCTTAAGTATTCCTTCCTGGAATGTTTTTATTTTTCCCCCTTTTATTGATTCCAGAGAGAGGGGAAGGGAGGGAGAAAGAGAGGGATAAAAACACCAATGTGAGAGAGAAACATTGATCACACGCCCCAATCAGGGACTGAACCTGCCACCCAGGCATGTGCCCAGACAGGGAATCGAACCCACAACCTTTCAGTTTGCTGGACGACGCCCAACCAACTGAGCCACATTAGCCAGGGCTTGGAATAATGTTTTTAAATCATGAAGCACAGCACATGGACTTTAAAACAACAGCCACAATAATTACAGCAAAATGCAGTCATCCAAATAATTTTTTTAAAACTCACAAATCCATGCCGTAGCACCACCTGCGCCTGTCTCCAGTAAATGACAAGCTCCAGCAACCGGTCTCACAACAACTGCGGCTCTGGGACGGTTTGGAGGGTCAATGGTCTGCCCAGGGGTCCGCACCTATGACACAGCAATGCGATATGAAAATATCTGTGATCTTACAGTAGTTGGTGACCACGCCCCAGGCACTTCTGATGCCTCTGATCTTTATGGACCATGTTTGTCACAGCAGGAAACCATTTCCATTAGATGTTAGTAAAATAAAGATGTATGTCTCCCCTCCCTTTCCATCCTGAAAGATACCGGTGGCCGTGCCCTGGGTGTGAAACTCTGTCCCGGGGAGTTCTAAGCTGGGGAGTGGCCGGAGGAGGTCTGCATTAAAAAAAAAAAAACAACAAAACTCCTCTTGGCTGCCGCGTGGTGAGCGGAAGAGCAGAGAGACGCTGGGTGCAGCCCAGTCAGGGGACTGCTCTGGGGCTCCAGACAGGAGATGCTAACAGCTAGGACGAGGGTGGGGGAAGGGGAGATGGGCAGACTTTGAGAGTTTTTTGTGATAGCGATCGCTGTGGGGGTGGGGGCAGGGATGAGGGAGAAGAAGGTTGCGGATAACGTGTGGGTGTTTTAGCATCTGCTCTGGGCCCAGCACTCTGCTAGGCTTGGGAGCTGTGTTTGCTCAGGGAGCAACCGTAAGTCCTGGGAAGAGACTCCGTCTGCAGCGGACTTTGATACCCAAAGGACACACCTGCCACAGGAGCCCACGTGACAGGCAGGGGGCGACCTCATGGAGGCGCCTTACATTTGACCTTGAGGAAAGGATGGGGCTGCTGGCGAACATATTTTAAATTTCCGCGATGAGAACTCGATGGCGCCAGTTCAGAAATAGACGGGAACGCACTGAATAAATACGCTAGGGGAGATCTGAGTCAGTGGGGAAGGGAAGGATGTTTCGATACGTGGTGGGGGCTGAAATAATTAGCCGAGCCTTTGAAAAAAGGTCCACTTTGAGCTGACTTCAGACTACAAATCCAGACAAATGGCAGGGAGGTTAAAAGTTGAATGTAAAGAGGAAAGATCAGGAAACTTCAGTTCCTGGTAGTGGGTGGGGTTGAGCCAAGGAAGGGCAGCAGGGGGTGAATGAGGACCTGTGCTTGAGCCAGTGAGGAGTCCGGCAGGCCCTGAGCAGCGGCTCCGGGTCCGAGGGGGAGGGGGAGGAGAAGAGCGGGCTGGGAGGGCTCTTTGGGGTGAAGTGGTGGAGAATCTGAGTGCCAAGCCACGGCAGCCATACTCTGCGATGGGGGCCATCCGTAAACTGAATGGGCCCCAGATGCCTCAGGGGAGGCAAACTCAGACCAGAGGACCTCCCGCACCCCAGTTCCAGATCCGCCTCTCACTCCCTCCGTTCCCAGGCTCATCCTCGGGATGATGGTGACCACCGCCTTCCTGTCCATGTGGCTGAGCAACACCGCCTCCACCACCATGATGCTGCCCATCGCCATCGCCATCCTGAAGAATCTCTTTGGCCAGAAGGAGACTCGGAAGGACCTCGACTGGGAGAGTGAAGAGAACGCAGGTGAGTCTGGGGAGGGGCTGGGGACCAACTCCGCAAGGTGGAGGGGTGGGGGCGGGGATGTCCGAAGCCTGGCAGGGGAGGCAAAGGGAATACATTTATTGAGCATTTACTATGTGCTAAGCAGAGTTAAACACTTTGCATACATTGTCTCCGCCTCTCAAAACACTCTCAACTGTAATAGGTGCTATAATTAAACCTTGTTTTAAAACACTTGAAGAGATGCTTCAAATCACTAATGCCCAGAGAAATGCAAATTGAAACAACAATAAGAAATGATGAGAATGCTGGATAATGCCAAGTGTCGGCAGGAACGGGGGCTGTTGGGTCTGTGCACTGCTACAGAGAGGGGGACCTGGGTCTGTGTTTCCCGAGGGTGTTCTGCAAACATTTGGTCAGATTCAATGTGCACACACCCTGTAACTCAGCAGTTCTGCACCTGAATGCAAATGCTACAGGGATTCCGGCGCGGGACCATGAGGGGACACTGGTGATGGTGCTCACTGCAGCATTCTCCGTGGTGGCGAGTTGGTAGCCACATGGATGTGACCGCTAGTGAAGGGGAAGGTGAGGTGTGGTGGGCACGCGCCGTGGAGCACTGTGCTGCTTTTAGGAGCAAATATAATTGTATAAATGAATCTCATAAAACAGTTGTGATTTTTTAAAAACCAGAAGGAGATCTAGACTATATCTCCATTATGTAAATGCCATTATGTAAATTAAAATAGACACAATGACAAAACATTTTGCAAGAACGTGAACGAATGAAGAGCTACACAGTATAAACACATCAAAGGAGTGGTCCTGCTGGGAAGGATGGGAGTGAGAAATGGACATAAAGAGGCTAAAGAAACAGGTACAACAGAAGAGGGCACTTGTGCCACAAATAGCAAGAGTGTGCCGTGAACTGAGGGGCTGGATTCACTCAAACCTCTGAAACTGTGTTCGAAATAAAACAAAACACAAGTGGCGGCCATGTTTTTAGAGGATTGACTGAAGGCTCAGAGAGGGAAGGTGACTTCCCCCAAGTCACACAGCAGGCACGTGACTGAGCCCGACTTCGAACCCCAGCAGTCTGGCTCCAGAGCCCACTCTCTTACCTAGGACACCAGCTGCAATCAGTGAGAATTCTTCTGGCTGCAGGTAAAAGAATGCCTGTCTGCAAGCGGCCTAAAGGATTTAGTTTCCTCAAATATCAAGAAGTCAGAGAAAGGCGGTTCCAGGATCAGTTCAGAGGCGCAAAGACATCAGGACTGTTCATCGACATCTCTGTGATTCCCTTGGTCTTTCCAACATGGTTGCAAAATGGCTGCCACATCCTGTCTGCTTTAAAACATCTTTTTTTATTTACGCAAACACCTTTCAGTGGGAAGCTTGTACGCTGGTACATATGTGGGCAGAGATGGCAAATTTGTACCCAGTATTGATTCTTCCTTTGTTCTTTTAGTAACAGAACCCCCACCTGGGCACATAGCTGGGCAGAGAAAAGGCTGAATTTCCCAGCCTCCCTTGCAACTAGGTGTGGTCATGTGACTAAGTTTAGCCAATGGGGACGAATGTGATGGTGGGGGGCGGGAGACGCTCTGGCACCCAAAGTTGGAAGTCACTTGTTGAGAGAGGGGTGGCAGATCCACCCCAGCACCCCGGGATCATTTACCCCAACCAACACAGCAACCATTATCCCCGACACCGTGAGTTCTGTGTGCTAGTTATGTTCTTTTCGAATATGCATTATAATGAATAGATATCTGCGGAGAATGTAAAGATTGATCCGTGTCCCGTCTGCATTAATCTCATGTGCGGTGGTAAGGCTATTTCCCCATCATGCAATGAGGGGTCTTGCTTGTTGTATTTCCACAGCAGCCCTGCAGTCTAGGGATGATGTAAGCCCTTTACAGATGAGGGTCAGAGAGGTGAAGTGGTATGACCAGAATCCATCACGCTGTGGGTCAAGTAGCAGAGCCAGGATCTAGGCAAGGTCAAAGGCTTCCTCATGGAAGGGAAGAGGTGCCCTAGGGCCAGGGCAGGCAAACATTTTCTGCAAACCACCAGGTAGCTACTTTAGGCTTTGCTGGCCCCTCTGTCACCACCTATCAACTCTGCCCTTGCAGACAGAAAGCACCCGTAGGCGATGCATAAACGAATGTGCGTGGCTGTGTTGCAATAAAACTTTATTCGTGGGTGCTGAAATGAAAGTTGTATATCATATTTACATCGTGAAATATTCTCCTACCGATTTTTTCCCCAGCCACTTCAAAATGTTAGCATGATTCTCAGCTGGCAGGCTGTGGGCTGGATGCAGCCCAAGGGCCATAGTTTGTGGATCCCTACTTTGTGGTGTCTGCTTCGTTGGTCCTCAGACTGTTTCCCCCGAGTCTTTAGGCTCCAAGAGAGCTGCCTGGTAAACAGTGAAGACTTGACTCTTTCTCCCATTTCAACTCCAGCTGCCGCTACTTTAACCGTTTTGTCCACTGAGCTTCCAAGTAACAAACAGATGTTTGCTGAGCGCTTATTTTATGCAAAGACTCTTCTTAAGGTCTTACGTCTGAGTGGGATGCAGCTCGCACGGACCCCCTTCAGAGGATGGAAACTGAGTCTCATCTCTCTCCCCATCTCCTTCTCTCTCTCTCCGATCAGTAAAAGAGGACAAAGCAGCCCCGAGGTTTGAAACCACAGGGGCTGACTTCAGAGCCTGGGCTCTTACCCTCTGTTATTCCACCTCCAACACAAGATCTTTTCTCAGAGTCTAGTGGCCACCCCCTCCAAAAAAAGGTTTGAGAGCCAAGTCCTTTGTTATAAAGAAAAAGTCTGACACCCAGGAAGGTTGCCCAAGGCCACACTCAACGCCCGGCGCAGAGTGCAATTCAGTCTTCTCTCTTAGGCTGCAGGGTGTCGGGAGGTAGGAGACCCTGGGAGGTCGGGCAGCCACCTGCCTTTGTGGGCAGTGGAATCAGACAGCCAAGGTTGGTTAATGATCGGCCCTGAGACCTAAAACAATGCTAATTTCAGGGAAAAGAGAGATGCTGCCTTTCACCCAGTTCCTGAGCTCTGTGAGGTGAGGTGAGGACAGGGGTGGAGGGAGCGGAGGTGCTGTTAGTGAGCCAGGTCAGGGGGCGAGGAGGCTCCGGGGCTTTAAGTCCACGAGGGACAGCCACGGCGACAACAACCATGATGATGCGCTTTCATTTTCTAAAGACACTGTGCTAAGTTTTTCATTCCCATTAGCTCGTTTAATCTTCGTAACGACCCCCATCTTACAGATGAGGAGACTGAGGTTCAGGGGCAGAATGGTTTGCCCAAGGGAACACGGTGCGTTAGCTGCTGAGCTCTGTCTGAACCCGGAACGCGTGCTCCTGAGCACCGGGCCAGAGCGGGCCAGATCCTGGGGCAGGGTGGGGCCCGCTGGACAAGTCCCCAGGGGTCCTCATCCTGGGAGGGCAGCCTGCTGCTTCTCTGCAGTTCCTTCACCCAGCCCTGCTCCTAGCACTGCTTTGGGGACTGAGGGGACATTGGGGGGGTGGCTGCTTTAGCGTCCTTCTACCTGCGCGTTCTCATCGGATCCTCCACTCCCCTGCAGGGGTGGCCCTCTCCGCGTGTCCATTTGGCAGAGGAGGAATCTGCCGCTCAGAATGGGGAAGCATTGGCCCAATGTCCCTCAGCCTGTCGGGGGCCCGCCTGGCTTTTGAATCTGAACTCTGCCATTCTTTCTTGCCACCACGCCTTCCCTCTGGGAAGGTCCAAGGGGCGAGCATTCAGAAAGCCATTTTGAGGCCGGGTTAAGCATGGCCCCCACTCCTTTGCTCTGCATTCACGAGACCAGGAGTGGGGGCTCTCTTCTCAACTCGAAAATGAGGACAGCCCCTCCCATTTCACACATATTGTGAAACTTGGATGAGAAATGAAAACCGGGAACGTAGGAAGGGGTCAGTTACTATGTGGCAGTTTGTATAAAAGCCATGATAAGATTTCCAGGAATCGAGAGAAGCCAGTAATACACCCCACACTGTGATTCGCCCTTGAAGTTTCCTACGCCTCCTGGTTGAGAGGGGTTTATTTCTTTGTCTCCTTGTAGACTCCCAGCTGCAGAGGGGTTTGTGTCCCTGTCATCGCTGTGGTCTTGCCCCCCTAGAACTCCGTCTGGCACACAGTAGGTGCCTGGCACACAGTAGGTGTCTGGCATGTAGTAGGTGTTCAATAAATGTGTGGACGTAAGGATGGAATAGGCCAGTTCCTTCACTATGGTTCACACGTTCACTGCTCCTCAGCTCAGATGCTGGCAGCGAGCAGGGTGCGTGGGTGAGTGACAGGGGCCGGGAGGGGGAACTGAGGCCCACTGCTGAACGCATGCCCCCTCTGAGGGTGTGGGCAGCCCTGGGCACCTCAGTTTCCCAATCTGTAACTTCAGAGGAGCGGTCCTCATCCCAGAACTTTCCAAAAGAATCACCTGCAGAGCTTTTCAACAACCCTGAGACCCCAGAGCCTCTAAACCAGAACCCCTGGGGCGGGAGGGATCTGGGCATTCTCAGCAGATGGTCCTGTTTACCCAGGGCTGTGGAGGGAGGGGGACAGAGTGAGCGAGCAATGGGTGGGGGCTGAGCCGGGGTCACTGGGTCAGAGTTCTTCCTGTCTGGTCATCCCCTGGGGAGCGACCTTTGCCTGTAGCATCGGTGTCCTATTAACACCTCCCGCTTCAGTGCCCTGGCCTCTGGCTGTGTACATTGCACGTGGACACGTATTCCCACCACGGGAGCCCTGAGGCCTGCGTCCCCTTGCCCTGGGTGAACTGGCCTGCGTTTAGCCTTCAGACCCTGGCTGGTGGTCAGCAGGGCCAGCCCTGGGCACAGTTGACATAACACAGGCAGCCAGCAAGGAATCCTGCTCCCTCGTGATACAAACAGGAGAGGGGCAGCCCAGAGCGGAGAGCAGAAGGCTCTGGCTTCCCCAGGTCCCCGGGTGCAACAGGGAAGGAGCAGGGGCTGGAGTCAAACCCCACCTTCCCAGCCCACAAGGCCGAGGATCCCCGAAACGCACCCGCAGACTGCCGCAGTGAGGAAGAGCACACACCAGGGCAAGCTCGATCCCCTGGGGCAGGGGGTGTGGTGAGAAAGGACCTTTCGTAGGACTCAGGACTCCAGGACTCGGGCTCTTGTGGGGTCGTGTGGAGGGGGGTCTAAGGAAGAAGGGGTTGCTCTAGATTGGGCGCTGTCAGCAGTCGGGTAAGGAAGTAGCAGCCATGCATTTCACAAGCATGGGGATGCTCCGTATTCTCTGGGAGGCCAGTGGCTTTGTGCGAAGACAACTCTAGCGCCCTCGCCCTGGCTCATCTTATCGGTCCCAGAGTGACTTTGTCTGAGGTCAGTGACGTGGAAGGTCGTTGAGGTCCAACAAGAGAACAGTGTGGTGTGTTTGCGTCAGACCACGTCCAGGCATCGGGGGCCACTCTGATGCTCTTTCTGAAGAGTGTGACCCCCATGAACTAAACCCTTGCGGGTGCTCGGATTCCTGTGAAATTCTGTGAATCGCAGTGCGGCAAACTTCGGCCCACCAAATCCAGCCTAGCACCTGTTTTGTGTGAGTTAAGGATAGTTTATCTATTTTTAAATGGTTGAAATCAATCGGAAGAAGAATGTTTGGGGACATGTGAAAATTACATGAAATTCAAATTCCAGTGCCCCCAAATAAAGGTTTAGCCACACTAGTGTGTTTCCACATTGTCTGTAGCTGCTTCCATGATAGCATGGCGGAGCCGAGTAGTTAACCACGGAGACCATATGGCCTCTAAAACTTAAAATATTTACTCTCTGGCCTGTTACAGAAGAAGTTTGCCAGTCCCTGCTTTAAATGGTACCTTAGTCCATTAAATTGCTGTAACCAAGATCCCATAGACCAGGCTTCTATTTCTCATACTTCCAGAGGTTGGAAGTCCAAGGTCAAGGAGCCGCCAAGTTTGGTGTCCACTGAGATCCCACTTCCTGGTTCATAGGTGGGGCTGCCTTCCCGCTGTGTCCTCACCCAGCTGCAGGGGCAAGAGGGCTCTTGGGTCTCTCTTATAAGGACACTCACTCTCCCCATTCGTGAGGGCTCCACCCTTAGGACCTAATTACCTCCCAAAGCCCCGCTGCCTAAAACTACCCCATTGGGGATTAGGTTTCATCACACCCATTTTTGGGAGGATGCAGACTTTCAATCTAGAGCAAATGGGTCCACCCCTCAGCCCCCTTGACAACCCTAGGAAAATTATTACTTCCATTTTCTGCATTAAAGAACTGAAGTACAGAAGGATGAACAGATTTATCTAAACCAGGGTTTCTCTGAACTGTTGACCTTCTTGGCTGGATAATTCTTTTTTGCCGGGGGCTAACTTGCGCATCGTAGGATACTCAGCAGCATCCCTGGCCTCCACCCACTAGGTGACAGCAGCACCCTCTGTGTCCCCGTTGTGACAGTCAAGAATGTGCCCTGACCTCGCCCAGTGTCCGTGGGAGGGAGAACTGGCCCTGGTTGGGAGCCGCTGGCCTAAGATCACATAGTAAACGATGGAGCCATGATTTGAACCGAGAACCCATGTGTCCAGCTGCCAGTCACACACCCAACTCCCAGGGACGGGTTCGTTTGCCCTTGGTGATGATTTCAGTGCAAGAACTTTTAATCCCTTCCATGTGTCTTGTCTTCAGAAGGCTATCATAGGCTCCCAGGGAGGCCGACCTATCAAGCAAAGGATACTTTTAAAATAAAGTCAGATGCTATCCTGACTCGTCTCCTCAACCACACCCATGCCTTTGCTCCCACCTGACACAGGGGAGCAGCCAAAGGTTTTGCTGCAGTCCCCAAGCCCCCTGTGTGATCCAGCCGTCTTCCTGCCCCCATCCCCCGCCTCTCTCATCTTACCTCCTGCCCCTCCCCTCCTCCTCAGGGCCCTCCAGCCACACTTGTCTCCCTGCTGCCCCTGGACACACCACCCCCCTCTCACCTCGGGGCCTTTGCACCTGCTCTCCGTTTCCCTGGAGGAGGTTCGCACGGCTCACCCTCTCACCTTCTTCAGGCCTCCGTTCGATGTTTCCTCCTCAGCCAGGCTTTTCTTGACCATCCTTTGAAAAAGTTGTCCCATCCCAGAATACTGGTCTGCTTTCCTACTTAATGTTTCTCCATGACACTCGCTGCCATCTGACATACTGTAGACTGTTTGTTTCTGGTCTGTCTACCTGACCAGAAGGTAAGTTCCACAAGGACATGGATTGTCATGTCTTGTCACTCAGGGACATTACTGGGGGAGTGCCCAGCCGAGGTTTATACGATGATGTTCCGGCCTGGGCTGCGGGTTGCACCCAGCTCTGGCCTCAGAAGGACTGACACACGTTCACAGCCTATTCGCTCTCAGCGTCTCTATGGCCTCTAGCCCGGTGCGGTCATCCTCATCTTATCTGGAAAGCGCAACAGATTTGGAACTGGTTTCCCAGCTTCCATTTTTGCCCCTCTGTGGTCCATTCTCCCTATCGGACCCAGACATGTTTGCAAAACGTCAATCACACCATGTCCATCTTGGATTCCAAATCCTGCAAGGGTTCACCGTCCTCGAGTTACCTTCTGACTTCTACGGACCTCTGCCTATACCCCTCCCGCTCCCTGGCTACCCTAGGCCTTCCCTACTCACTGCCCTCCCAGCACACTGGCCTTCTCACGGCTCCTCAGTTCTGCTAAGCTTCTTACCCCAGGGCCTTTGCATTTGCTGTTCCTGTTGCCTGGAACTCTTGTCTCAAGGCTGCTCATGGGACTGGTTCTTCTTTATCCCCGAGGCCTCAGATCAAATGCCACCAGAGCATGGTGTCTTTCTGTTGACCTGATGACAGCAAGCCACCTGTTCTCCCTCCCCACCCTGCAATTGTTTTCCATCACATGGCCCAGTTTTATGTCCACCATCACAAAATTCACTACCTGAATTTTTCTTTATGTGTTTATTGTCTGTCTCCCTTTCTGGAACATAAACTTCATGGGAACAGGAACCTTGTTGTATATTGTTTACTGTGTACCTCAAGCTCGTAGTCAATAGCACATAGTAGGTGCTCAATAAATGCTTTTTGAATGAGTGAATGGGAGATTGGGGCCACCCATCCCATTGCTGATCCATTACCACTCGTAGCTGGTCCTTCCCAGACACCCCTTTGGCAGTGGCTGCTTGGATAAGCCTAGGCTTGCATTATGAACCGTCAAGCAGTCTTGCAGCTAATTCCCTGCCCACAGCTCTGGGGTCATCTCCAAACAGAGATGGGCAGGCCAGGGAGATGGAGTGTTGAGTGACGTGTTGATTTATTGGATGGAACGAATAGTAGGGGACCCTTGGCGGAGCAGGAGCCTGAAGAAGCGCTCTTGGCTGCCCACAGAAGAGTGGGCGCACTCCTGCCCCATTCACACGACACTAACGCCATCACGCTTTCTCCTCCTAGCTGCCGCCCAGGCCAAAGGCCTGCAGACCGTGCCCACGGAGATGCAGTCTCTTGCCAGCACGGAAGAGTGAGTTCCTGGTGAAAGTCGTAGTGGAGCCAGTGCTGGGTCCGAGGAGATGAGGAGCAAGAACTCCGTGCTGCAAGCGACCTCCCTCCCGCCTCTGAAATTTTCTCCAAATGACCTAATCGCCCACGGTTTCCAACCTTTGGCTGGGGCATAGACCTCCACAGACTCCTTAAAAATGCAAAGTGTGGTCAGGGCAGCGGGGTACACTAAACCCCTAGAGTTCTGGCAGGGGGTGGGGGTCTCCAGGGTGAGCCCAGAAGAGCAGCAGAGTGCAAGCCGTGTGCTGGTCAAGGAGGAGAGGGGTGCAGACCGGGTTGAGGGGCCCTAATGGGAAAATTATTCTACACGGCAATAATAATTCTTCACACTTACGTGAGTCAGGGAGCTCCTTCACACCCATGGCACGTCCGGTCTCAGTGCCCTTTGTGTGACAACGTGGTTAAGCTCTTGGGGTTTGGAGCCCCCACGGACCTGACTCGGACCCCTGGCTCTGCCCCTCCCTGCTGTGTCATTTAGACAAGTCGCTTAACCTTCCTGAGCCCCAGTGAGGTTCACCGACCGAGTGGACGCGATATTGGGACCCACTTACAGCGCTGTTTTGAGATTCAATGGGACAACGCCGACAAAGCAGGTTGCTAGGTCCTCCGTGCACGATGGTGGCCCTTGTGACCAAAGCCTCGTTATCTTGCTTTAATGGGGACGAAACAGTGGGAAGTAGAGGGACTTGCTCTCAGCCGCGCTGGGCGTCGACCAGGCCTGTTTCACTCACTCAGCGATATTCAGTGAGAGCTTGGGATGAGCCGGCCCTCCCGGGGGTGCAGCCACACAGGGACAGAAAGTTTCAGACCCGCGGAACTTACGTCCCAGTGACAAGGAACACACGCGCGAGTAAAATCCATCGTATGTCGGATGGTTGTAAGAGTTACACAGGAGAACGAAGCCGAAAAGAGGGCTAGGGAGGGGGCCGGGAGGAGGCCAGGGGCAGCTTTAAAATGGGTGGTCAGGGAAGGCCTCTCTAAGGAGGTTGTGCTTGAGCAGACACCTGTAGGTGGTGAGGGGTCGTGGGGAATCTGTAGAATGTTCTACAGGTCCAGCAGAGGGGCAGCAGGTGCACAGTTCCTGAGAGTCCAATGCAGATGGGAAGCCCACGTGCTTCCTGTGCAGTTGTTGTTGGGTGAGTAGATGACGTCAGTGAAGGACGGTGGCAGAGGGACAGCACGTGGGACCTCATAGGCCGTTGACGCAGCCTTGACTTTGAATGAGATGGGAGCTGATGGAGGGATAGCAGAGAAGGAACCTGGCCTCACATCTGATTGTCTTATCCCACGGCCCAAGCTCCTTCCCAGCACCCTTTGGGAGCTGCGAGTCCAGCTTTGAGTTACGTGTTCGGTGGTGATGGCCCAGCACTCACTGCCGCGCGGCCTGGGCGTCAGCTTTAAACATCTGCCTACGCTGGGCTTGTGCGGAGTTTCTTGGAAAGACCTGACTCCGCTCTCTGGAACTCCACGTCCATTAGATGGAAGCCCCGTCCACTGGATGCAAACCTTGTCCCCTCTCCGGACTCGGTTTTCCCATCAGAACAAAGAAAGGGTCGCACTGGATGAGTCCCAGGGCCGTCTGCTCCCCCATTCCCGCTGTGAGGCTCAGCCCAGCTGGGTTCCCAGAGCTGAGAGAGGCCCCCTCCCTGAGCGGGCCGCTCACCCTGAGAGGTCAGGCCACGCAGCACAAAGGTCTCCGGCTGCTTCCTTGTGTTCCTTTCAGATGCCAGCCCATGTCCCCATCGCCCACTGGAGAAGGGGCCCCTCAGGTAGCAAATAAGGCCAGAAGGTATTTGAAGGATCTTTTAAACATTTTTAATTGGTTGCACTGGAGCCATTCTTAATTTCACTCGCTTATAAACATTTTATAATTGCACAAGTCAAAAAAAAATACTCCTAAACAACAAAAAATATATTCGGCATTAAAACAGATAAGCGAATACCATTTTAGATTATTTCTTGCTACCCCTCTGGGTGCCTAAATACATTTTCTTAAATAAAAATATTGATAATGCTACCTATGCCATTATCGCACTTAATGGAGTGTGCCGAACATCTTCCCCCTCAGTGCATTCATGTCAGCAGCATTATCTTTTAATTATGTGATTAACAGTTCTTGATTTCATGCTTTCCCGGAACTCTTTGTGCAAGGGAAGCAACCCAGAAAACACAACAAGAGAAAAAAATCTGTAGCTCAAGCCCCGAGAAAGGCACGGAGACAACCTTGCCTATTACTATCTTAGACTTTTCTTCATACTCAGATATCCGTGAAATATGTATTTAAACATAAAAAACTAGTGCTATTACCTATCTTTTCACTTTCTATAACGAACACTTCTCATCTGAACGCACTCATCTAAATCACCGTTTTTAATGGCTGCGGTGGCGTTCCACCCGGAAAGAGGACCGTCTTTATTTAGCCGAGCCCTTTTTTACGGAGATTTCTGTTGTTCTGAATGTATCGTATTTAACGCCACATGAACGCTCATACCCACACCTGAGGCTTTTACCCAATTGTTTCTTTAGGATAAATTCTTAGAGTAGAACACCTAAGCTGAAGGGTTGCACGTTTTTAGGGGTTTCGAAGGCCCGTGCCTAATTACCTTCTCCAAAGACCGCCAGTTGTCCCCACCCAAGCACTGCGCGAGCCGTTTCCCCGTGAGGCCAGCAGCGCTGAGTGTGTTCTGAGCGGCTTCTCTCCGGGTTTGTTTAAAGCAAAGACTGCCGCGAGGAGGCAGAGGCTCCGTTGGATCTTCCAGCTGGCTCCACCAGGGAGGAGGAACGTCGCAGAAACATCTGGAAGGGCTTCCTCATCTCCATCCCCTACTCAGCCAGCATCGGGGGCACTGCCACCATCACAGGCACGCCCCCCAACCTCATCCTGCTTGGTGGGCTCAAGAGGTAAAAGCAAGTGTCCCCTATCTGACCCTGGAGTTTCCTCCTCTTCCTCCTGCTCCCTTCGTTTAATATCCAGGGAAGTTGTGTCTCGAGTGCCTTCTATTGGCCAGGCTCTTGGGACCCCACAAGGCACAAAACTCAGCAGTCTCTGCTCTAAGGGACTTCTATTCTGGTGGGGAGACAAGCAGTAAAAGAAAAAGCAAATGAATATGGGATATGTTGGTGTGATAAGCTGTGAAATAAAGCAGGATAAGGGGGTAGAGGGACAGGAGTGGGTGGTGTTTTATATTGGTTGGTCACGGATGCACGACATTTCTAATAAGGTGACATTTGAGCAAAAGCGAGGGGGTGAACTATGTGGACACAGGAGGGAAGAGCCTTCTAGAGGGAATGGCCTATGCAAAGGGGAATGGCAAAAAGACCAGCAAGGTGGGAGTGTAGAAGTTGGGGGGCATTGTGGGAGGAGATGAGGTACGAAGGGGCCAGGCTAAGGCATCTATTGTAAAGACCCAGTGGGGAGTCAGTGGACAGCTGAGGGCAAAAAAGGGACATGATGTGGCATCCGTTTTAAAAACACCCCAAATGGAGGCGCTGGCTTGTGGCTGTCCCACCCAGTGAGAAGCTTTGCAACCGTGTCCCCGGGCCAGCAGCGGAGAGGGGTCTGCCAGAAGGACAGGTGTCCCAATCACAGACACTGTTCACACAGAGGAAGGCATGAGAATCAGAGGATTCTCGGACAGCGTGACGCGTTGATTCCATCCTTCCAAGCCTCTCAGCGCAAAGATTTTTAAAATTCCTGTATTTCAAGGTGCTAAGATTTACAGATTTTAGGATTCTGAGAAGCAGGGTTTCTAAGATTCCTGTGCCATGGTGATGGGCAGAGGCTTATTTTATCCACATGAATGCCAAGGGAAGCATTTGGCAAACAAATAGCAGTTGAAAGTCTTTGATACTCAACATGGCCCTGCACACTGGCCAATTTCTTTACCTGCTACTCAACCGAAGAACCGAGGACCTGCTAGGAGGGTGGAGATCTAGCCCAGAGCAGGGGCGGTATACATTAGGGGGTACTAACTACACTTGTGGGTCATCGACGTTACTTTCATGAGAAATGTTAAGCACACTCCCGTTTGGCCTCATGAGCTGATCTGAAAACCTTAAACCTCTGCTATATTCTCAGGTTCTTAAATCCCTTGATGTTTATGATGTGATGGTAGAAACAGGTGGTTCTCAGCCAATGGGTGCTTATCAGAGCCCCCGGGGGAGAGGGAAAAGTACACCTGGGATTGCAGAGATTCTGATTTGGGGGGTATGGGAGGGGGGCCAGGCATCAGTATCTTTCCAGTTGATCTGAGCTCACCGCCAACCTTTGGTGCCTTTTCGTCTCTGTTCTTTGAGCAAGATCTGGCTATGCCTCAAGGTGTTTGGGTTGGCAGCTAAAACACCAGAAGCCAAGACGGCCCCGTTTCAGATGCGGGGACAGTCCGCCCTGGTCCTGTGGTCTCCTCAGTCAGAAGGGGCTGGACAGGAAGGATGCGGGTGTGGGCGCCTCAGAGGCAGGGCCTGAGCTGGGGGGTGCGGTTGGTGGGCGAGGTGGCAGCTGCTGTCAGAAAGTTTTCGGGCTGTCTGCCCACCCTGGTGTGAGCAGAACTTTGTCCCAACTTTAAAAAAAATCAGGGGGGGAAACGTGGAGCTTCGAGTAAAAATAGCAAATGTGAAGGATCGGGAGTAAATTGCATGCAAATTGCATGCAAATATATGCACCATTTAACTGCACAGGCTTGGACCTTCTGGTGTGGGAGGAGGGGATTTAGGAGCAATGCTAAGTGACGTGGGGTTCTGACTCTGCAGTGGGGGCGTCTGGGGGAGACAGGGTAACAGTGGCCCTGAGTGTTCTCCTCAGGCTTTGCTCCCTAAATACATTTCATTCGTTTATTCTGATTATGTATGTAATAGGCACGTTATAGAACTCTCAGAAAATATAGAAATAAATTAAAATTTTGCACTACTTTTCATCCCACTCAATATTTAACATACTCCCTCTAGTTTTTCTAGGCGCATGTACAGACTCCCCCCAGCCCCCCACAGCTGACCTTGGCTGGCTCTCACCACCCTCTTTCCTCCAGCTTCTTCCCAAAGTGCGATGTGGTGAATTTCGGCTCCTGGTTCATTTTCGCCTTCCCACTCATGGTGCTGTTCCTGCTGCTGGGCTGGCTCTGGATCGCCTTCCTGTACGCGGGGATGACCGTGAGGTACCCCTCCTGTTTCACTCGAGCTTTGAGCCAGACTGAACCATGTTTCACAGGTTCCTTCTCCCCTGGGGGTGGACTCTCAGGCTTCTAGGTCAGCCGAGGGTTGTTCTTATATACTTCATGTCACCTTCTCACACGGCGACTGGAGTGGACGTCGCTGCCCAGGGCTGTGAGGAGTATGGCGGTGTGCCCAGCCTGCTATGCCCAGACCGTCGGTTAATTCACTCATCATCGATACTAGTACACTAACAAAAACACATTTTTTAAAGATTTCATTTATTTATTTTTAGAGAGGGAAGGGAGGGAAATAGAGAGAGAGAGAAACATCAATGTGCAGTTGCTGGGGGTCATGGCCTGCAACACAGGCATGTACCCTGACTGGGAATCGAACCTGCGACACTTTGGTTCACAGCCCGCGCTCAATCCACTGAGCTACGCCAGCCAGCAAAAACACATTTTTATTTTAATAAGCATCGTCAAGTCATTCTCTGTAAGAATTGTACTAATCGTACCATTTACCATGTATGAGAGTGTCTGTTTCCATACAGAAAAGTGGATTTTTCCCATCTGATAAGAGAAGAATAATCTGCATTTATTTTATTGAGAGTGATTTTGAGCAACTTTTAATGGTGAGGGGCAATGTGAAAAGTTTGGATATATTCATGGGGCCCATAGGCTATTTCCTTTTCTGTAACTCGTTAAACTGTGTTTATATCATTTGTACATTTTTCAGGTGGGCTGTTGGTGTTGGTCTTGTTGATTTCTAGTACTCTTTATATACTGAAAAATTAGTGATTATTCTGCAAGATGAGTTGCAAATATTTTATCTTCAGCATTTTCTTTCATGTAGAATTTTTGAGAAAATTTTATACAGATGAATTTACCAATCTTTTCTCATATAGCTTCTGAATTTTCTATTATAAATAAAAGGGCCTTCCCATTAAAGGAGACGTAGAAAAAAGTAATCACATATTTTCTTTGGATATTTTAATTTTTTTACATTTAACTTTTAAAAAAAAATCTATTTGGAGTTTATCCTTAGAGTGCTGGGTGAGGTTTGAACCCGATTTTACTTTCTGTCCAGGTGACCAGCCGGTTGTCCCGACACCATTTGTTGATACACAAAAGTTTTTAATTTTGACGAAGTCCATTTTATCTATCTTTAATAGCTTGAGCTTTTAATATTCTATGTCTAAGAAACCGTCGACTAGGCCAAGGCCACGAAACTTGACCCCTATGTTTTCTTCTGAGAGTCAAATAGACTCAGCTCTTACACCGAGGTCTGGCATCCAGTCGGAGTTAAATTCTGTACGTGGCGTGAGGTAGGGACCCACGTTCCGTCGTTTGCATGTGGCTGTCAGTGTCCTGGCTCCATTTGTCGAAAGACTGTTCTTGCCCCACCGAACAGTTTTGGTGCCCTTGTCAACAATGAAGTGACTACAGATGCATGGGCTTCCTTCTGGACTCTCCACTCGGTCCCACTGGTCCACGTGTCTAACGCCACTGGCTGAACAGCCCATCTTTTGCACCCCAATCTGTGCAACCAGGTTTATCTCAGACTACATCCCCATTTACGTGTGGGTGCACTTCTGGACTTTCTGTTTTATTCCATTGACTTGTCTGTTTATTCGTGTTTATGTTTAATCCCCTGAAGGGCTGCTCCCTGGCAGTTGTATAATCAGATTCACATTTTTTTTTAAATTTTAAAAAGATTTTATTTATTTATTTTTAGAGAGGGAAGGGAGGGAGAAAGAGAGAGAGAGGGAGAGAAACATCAATGTGCGGTTGCTGGGGCCCGTGGCCTACAACACAGGCATGTGCCCTGACTGGGAATCGAACCTGCGATGCTTTGGTTCCCAGCCCGCCCTCAGTCCACTGAGCTACGCCAGCCAGGGCAGATTCACATTTTAAAAAGACCGCCCAGGCTACAGGTGGGGAGAACAGATGTGAGAAAGGGAAGACAGAGGGAGACCACTCAGAGGCCACTGCGGTCTGCGGAACAGAGACAATGAGGCCTGGCCAGGTGGTAGCGGGCCGGGGGGACGTTAGTCACCTTTGCAGTGGCCACTCCTAACTTCCCCACTTTCCGTTTCAGGGGCTGGAGGAAGAAGAAATCTGCGGTCAGAGCTGGTGCAGAAGACAGTGCTCGGGCTGTGATTCAGCAGGAATTCCAGAATCTGGGACCCATGAAGTGCGTGGCCCATGGTCCTGGGGGGGTGAGGGGTGGGGGAGAGCTGGGCATTAGACCTCCAATACAGCCCTCCTGTTCTGAGCCCTGGGTCCCTGGGGGCTGAGTCCCAGGGGAGTATCAGGACCAATGGCCTGAGACGGGATCCTGGAGATGGAGGGTAGGGAGGTGGCTTAACAGTCAGCCTCTTGCCCTGGTGCTGGGGCAGACACTCTGAGGACCAGAAAGCCCCTCAGGGTGTACTTGGGGTGGGGACAGGCCTCCCTCCTGCCAAAGGCACCCTTTCCCTCCTGCTACATGGGATGCTCGGCATTGCCTCGGGTGACTTCCAGGACCTTGTTTAATGCATGTGTCTCGTGAGGTAAAAATAACTAGGAGTCATCAGGCTTGCCCCCCAGGGCTGACTCTGCCACTAACTTCCTGTGTGACTTGGGCAAGGGACTAACCCTCTCTGGGCCCCATTCCCCAATCTCTGAAATGGGCACATTGGGTAGATACTTACCCCAACATCTGAGGCTTCCACCTCTGTGCATCTCTCTCTTCGTGTCTGTCCCTGTCTGAGATTGTCCCACTCTGCGTTTGTGTTTATCCGCCTGCCTCTGTGTGCGGCTCTTCCTCTCTCCCTGCCCGCCTCTGTCTGTTTCCTTTCTCTCTGCTTCCCTGACTCTGTCTCTGCTTCACTCTCTTGTCTCTGGATGTTCCTTAGGACTCTGGGAGATTCCCAGCAGAAATGACATAAATAGTTTGGGGACAGGGGGTGCTTGATGCTTAGGAAGGATCCTGGCTGATTGTGGCAGGCCCAGGCAGGGACCACTCACGTCACGGGACACCCCTCTCTTCTGGAGGCTTCCCGAGGGGTGAATTACTTCCTTCAGTTTCCCAGAGGCAGAGTCTGGGCCCGGTCCCACCATGAGCACCTGCCCGAGGCCTCCTCACCCCGTGGTTTGCTGGAGCCTACGGTCACCACGCGCCTGCATGTTTGTGCTACAGGTTTGCGGAACGGGCCGTTTTCATCCTTTTCTGCTTGTTCGCCATTCTGCTCTTCTTCCGGGACCCGAAGTTCATCCCCGGCTGGGCCAGTCTCTTCCCTGCTGGGTGAGTCTCCGGGGACCCAGGGAACAGAGTCCAACAGGGAAGATTCTGGGGTGGGCCACATGCAGCTGGAGAGGCACTGCAGCGGGGGTGACCTGGGGTAGGTTCACACCCCTTGTCCCTGGTGATTATCAGCAGCTCCTTCTTTTGCTCTCGGAAGAGTTTAGGTTTGGATGATAAGACATTTGGGTTCCCACGTATTGAAAGCTTTGGCTTTGAAATCAGACAAAACTGGGTTCCAGAGATAGCTCTGCCACTTACAAATTGTGAGGCCCTGAGCATGTCATTCATTCATTCATTCATTCATTCATTCATTTTTGCATTCACTCAATCAACATTTATGAAGAGCTTAATATGTGATAGGTATTATGCTAGCTGTTGGGTTCACAGACTGAAACAAGTAGTTAGGCAGCAAAATAACTTATTGTAATGAGTGCAATGAAAGGAAGAGAGCGTGATGAAAGAGTGGAGTGACGGCCTTGACTTTGGAGAGCTCTGGGGAGAACCAAAGGCTAGGAAGAGTGGAGGTAAAAACTGGAGACCTCCAGGGCATGCCCGCTGAGAGCCTGAGGGAGGGACCAGCTTAGCACCTGTGAAGAACGGGCAGGAGCCCTGTGTGACCGAGGCCCGGTGGGAAGGGTGGAGAGTGGGCAAGGTGTGGCCGGAAGGGAAGGCGGGAGCCCGATTGTGGGGGTCTCGCTGGACACGTTAAGCATTTTGGTCTTTTTGAATGAGAGCGATAGAAACTGTTGGAGGGTTTTAGGTTACTTAACCTCTGGGTGCCTCAGCGTCCTCATCTGAAAAATGGTACACTTCCCGTCGAATTGTTCTGAGCATAAATGAGTTAGTACGTGTCCTGTGATTAGAGTTGCTCAGAGGAAGAACTCCATAAAACAGTAATCGGATCTACTAGGGAATGGGCAGTGGGGGCAAAAATACAGGTGGGCAGAGCGGTTAGGAGCTAGGCACCACCTCGATGACCACCGTCCTCTAAGCGGTGAGAAGACCAAGGCTCATGGACCACATCGGGCCCACGCCTTGTGTCTGAGTGGGTTTTACATTTTTAAACGTCTGGAGAAAATGAAAAGACAGTACTGGGTGGAGAAAAAGTAGGTTTGGAAGTTGTGAATACTCAACACACGAGAGTTTATTCTTATATTATTACTTATTAATTATTATATTTTTTTCCACATGAACAACTGTACCTATTAGACTTGGCGAGTGGCGCAGGAAAGTGACATGAAATTCAAGTGTCAGTGTGAGCACACACAGTTCCACTGGGCCACAGCCGCACCCACTCACTCCTGTGCTGTCTCTGGCTGCTCCCGGGCTACGGCGTCGTGACGGAGACTGCATGGCCTGCAAAACCAGAAATATTTATGGTGCGGCCCTTGGCAGATGGTTACTGACACTGGTCTAGGTGATGGCTTCAGGGACTCGAATGAAAGCGATGGCAATGGAGACAGAACAGTTCAGATACTTGTCAGAGTTAGAAGTGACAGGCCTGGCTGTGGTCGAATTGGGGGGCCTGCGGGAAAGAAGGACCCACACTGGTGGCGCTCGGCTGAAGAAGAACATTCTCTAGAGAGACTGGGGGTGCCTCACAAACAATTCTATTTTGAACTTGGTTTAGACTCACCCAGTCTAATATGCCTTCTCAGATGCCGCACTGGGCACTTGGATACGGAAGCCTGGAGCTCAGAGGTGTCAGGTTGCAGATACAAACCTGGGAGTCATCATATAATTTTGGAATTTAAATCCAGAGGAACTGATGGGCTCAGCGAGGGAAAGAGTGTGGGGAGAGTGTAGCAGACTTCGAGGAACCCCACCAACCACGTAGGAGCTGGGCAGAGAATGTCCCCATTAGAGAAGCGGAGGAGAAGCCGTCGGTGAGGTGGGCACAGAACCTGGGGCCACGGACCGGCAAAGGCCCAGCGAGCGAGGGTCTTGAGAGAGAGTGGGCGGGCCACGGCGTCAGACTCCGGCGTGAGCTCGAACACGGCCACACGGCAGGCGTGTCCTCTGGACTCGGTGAGATCTGATGGTCTCCGTCAGCGCCGTCCCGTAGAAGTGGGACGTGAGCCACAGACGTCACTTAAAATGTTCAAATAGCCACATTGAAACGTCGAAAGAGGCGAAAATAATGGTGGTGCTCTATTTTTTTATAACCCAGTACACTATTTCAACATGTAATCCATATAAAAATATTTCTGAGAGATTTACTTTTCTCATACTAAATCTTCAAAGTCTGGCGCGCGCGGAAGGGAATTTTATGCAGCCGCACATTTCAATGTGGTCTTGCCACATTTCAAGCGTCCACGCACCACCCGTGGCTGCTGGCTCCCACGCTGGAGGGAGCAGCTCTCCCCGCTTGGCCACAGGCCTCGGCCTCCCCTCTGCTGACCCGGGCGATCCCAGTTCTGATCTCAGGAGGGTCGTTATGAGGAAGGAAATATATAGTTTCACAGAACCAGGAGAAGTGGCTCTGATTACCATTCTTCTACTTTTCCAAAATGTAGGTACTTAGTTGTTTTTTTTTTCAGCTGAAAAATAGGAGTCATAAGCATTCTAACAACACGAAGAGAGTAAACATCACCTAGAATCTCTGTCTCCAGACCTGATGTACACGCCCTCTGACTTAAAACATTTGCCTGTCTGGGCACCGTCCCACACCTCAATCGTATCGGTTATTACAAGACTGCATTTGTTAAAACTCACTTAACTATATCCTTAAAATGGGTGCCTTTTATTCCATGTTAATTATAGATTTCAGTAAAACTAATTTTAAAAACACATGCAAACTACCTAAAAAGAAACCTATGAAAACACAAGATTTTTTTGACAGAAATGTGACTACAGTGGACATTCTGTGACCTGCTTTTTTCTGGTTTGTTTCCTGATAACAAATGTAAACAATGCTGAATTGAAAAAGTAAAATTTAGTTGCCTTTCATCTCCCCTCTGCCCCACTCCCCAACGACATTCACGATTAAAGTCTTGTGTGTGATGTGTCAGGTACACATGCATGTATTCATACACACGTATTCACACATACACACAGGCATGTAATGAGAAATTGGAAAACATAATAATATGATCATGGACAACTTGCTATTTCATTCTTTTTCAACACTGCATAGTATTCTACAGAATAGGAGTATTTTTGTTTATTTTATCAATTCCTTTTAGATTGTGTCCAATACTGCAAATAAAAACCTTTCAAATACAAGGTTTCTTGGTTGTATGTCTATGTCAACACCTAAAGATAGATATTATCTTATATATTTAAAGAAACAGGTGCAGGGTATTTCTTTACATATATGTTATTAAACACAGTTTATTTACACATCTTTTTTTTTGTTTTATTCTTATTACTAATGGTCATCTCTGTATGTAATCTGTGTACAAGAGTCCGGTTATTTCTGAGGCTAAATTCCTAGAAGCACGATCACTGGATCGAGGGGTAGTCTCATGTAAAGTTTTGGAACACGTTGCCAGCTGCCGTCTGGAAGGTTAAATGTTTATTTCCCCGCCACCTGTACGTGTCCCAAGGTCCTCACTTGGTACCACCACCCTTTTAGAGCACTCCTGTCTGCTCACGGAGGTAAAGCGGAATGGTGTTCCGTTAGTGTTTTCATTTATATTCCTCTAGTATAGTGACATCGACTATCTTTCTCAGTTTCTCGGCCATTTGCATAATCTTCTTCCCAAATGTGTGGGCTAAAAAGGCTTTTGTTAGTAGTTGGCTTTGAGCTTCATTGAACTTGGGGCTGGAAAAATCTGGTTTCAGTGCCAGTCTGTGCCACGGGCCATGATCTGGCCTTGAGCAAGTCGCTTCTGCTCTCCGAGCCGGGGGCTCCTCATCCCAAACAGAAGCTGCCTGCCCCAGGCTTCTGTGAGCCGGAGTCCCCACAGGGCGCTGCATGGGTCCTTGAAAGCTGGTAGTTAGGCTTCGAGGGGCTATGAGACTGGCTCCATCTGAACTCTGCCGATGGGAATGAGTTCTGTGTCTGTGTGGTAAGCCGCCCGTCCCAGGAGGAATGCAAAGAGAAGTGGAAGAGACACAGGGCTGTTACAGGAACCCCGGTTACGGTGATCCTCGGGGGATCCACACACCTTAGGATTCTGTAGCTCCCAGATCCTTTCCTCTGTGGTCATGTCCCCTTACTGGGGGTCCTTGGGTTGGGAAGAAAAGTGTTTGTTTGGCTCAAGCAGGCTCTAAAAGCCCCAGGGAGCTGTGGGTGGAGGACGTTTGCCCCCAGGGGTGGTTGCATCCGTGCGGAGTTCGGCGCAGGACAGAATCCAGAGGCGCCTGACAGGGGCCCTCACAGCGGCCCTAGCCCCCTCCCACAGATGCTCATTTGTAAATCTGCCGACCTTGGCCTGCTGAGATGCCCAGGGTCACATGCTTTGGGGGCCTTGTCTGTCATTGTAGGTTTACTTCTGATGCTGTCACTGGCGTGGCTGTTGTCACCGTCTTGTTCTTCTTCCCGTCCCAAAGGCCCTCTCTCAAGTGGTGGTTTGACTTGAAAGGTAAGGGGGTCAGGGCTGTGGTCTCGGGGAACTCGGGGAGCTCTGTGGCCTGGAGGTGGGGCCCGCGCCTGGGACCTGCCCCCCTGCATCTTCCCTGTTCCCCGCCTGAGCGGTTACCTCGTCTGGGCACGTGGGGCTGCCAGAGGTGACTGCCCAGGGCAGGGTTATTACCCACTACCGCCCATGGGCCGAGTGCAGCCTGTTTTCATACAGCCCGTGCGCTCAGAATGGCTTCCACATTTGTAAATGGTTGAGAAAAATCAGGAGAAAAATATGCATGACACACAGATATGACATGAAATTCAAATCTCATTGTCCAGAAATACAGTTTTTAACGCCTCCTGCAAGAAACTCGTGGGCTGGTATTTTCTTTAGTTACATAAGTACCTACACAATGGCCTCGGTGTTGCCTCTTGGCCCACAGAGCCCAAAATATTTACTCTGTGGTCCTGTTCACAAAGGCTTTGCCGCCCTTGGACTTGCAACTCCGTTGCCTAAGGGGCCAGACGTGAAAACCTCAGGCTGGGTTTCAATGAACAGGAAGAGGGGGGGAGTGAGGCTAAAGTGCCGAAAAGCCCCCAATCTCTGAGCCCCCCCCCCAAACCGTCAATAGGCTGGCCTTGGCCTTCAGAGCCCCAACTCGTGACCCTCCTGGATTTCCAGCAGGTGTCTGCCAGGAGAGGGCGCCCACACCTGCCGCCTGTGTGCCTGGCCCCTCTCCGTCTGGGGGGGCGCCCGTCTCCATCTGGGGCCCGCACTGAGCTCTGGGCAGGAGTGAGGCCCTAGGGGTCACAGCAGAAGTAGTTTCCGTTGCCAAAGGAAATGGAGCATTCAAAGGAGAGTTTCAGCTGTGGAGGGTGGGGGTTGGAGTGTGGGGAACACAGCCAGCCGGTGGATCGGGCCGGAGAGGGTTTGACGGGGTCCCACCAGCGGTTGCCGAGGCAGAGCTAGCCCTCAGGGAGGCCGACGCTGGGTCCGAGGAGCTCAGGCCGTGGGCTTGGGGCTCCACGAAGCTGAGAGGGGTGCCCAGGGCCCCTGCCGTCTCTGCGTCTCCATCTCATTCCCAGGCTGCTCTCCTCGCCCTCCGCTCCACCTGCCCTTTCCCAGTCTCTGCAGAGTTTCTCCTGTTCCTTAGCTTGCGTGTCTTTCTAGCACCTGCTTCCTTATCATTCTTGCCTTTTTTATCGCTTCTGCTCCCTTGTAGTGTCTGCTGCCTGCTGGTGCCCGCTCACTCCCACGGCTTCCGCTGCCTCCTGTCCCCTCGGTGCCTGGCCCCTCGCGGCGTCTGGCCCTACAGTGCGTGCTCCTTGGAGCCTGCCTGTGTCCTTGGAGCCTCCGCCTCCTCCTAGTACCCGTTTCCTCAATCTTTCTGCTTCCTCACAGTTTGCACTTCCTCAGTGTCCACTTCCGGGCAGTGTCCACTTCCTCCCAGTGTCCGTTTCCCTGGGGAACCGCAGCCACTAGCGCCCCTCCTTTGTCGGGCGGCCTCTCGGTCTATTGTTTCACCTTTATGATCACTTCTTTCTGCCCAGTTACCTCCCTGTTTTCCACAGATACTCCTGAGAGTAAGGATCTGGTTGGTCTGGCTTATTCTTCATACACACACACACACACACACACACATACATATATATCACAGCCGTGTGAAGATATAATTTACACACTGTATAAATCACCCATTCGATGGTTTTCAGTATATTCACAGAGCCGTGCAGTCACAAACACAACCCATTTTAGAATATTTTCATCACCCCGTGAAGAAACCCTGGTTCATCAGCAGTCACTCCTGCCCGCCTGCCCAAGCCCTGGACAACCATTAGTCTACTTTCTTTATGGACTTCCCTATTCTAGATGAATTTTTTTTATAGAAAGAGTCATTTTTTAAAAGATTTTATTTATTTACTTTTAGAGAGGGAAGGGAGGGAGAAAGAGAGAGAGAGAGAAATATCAATGTGCAGTTGCTGGGGGTCATGACCTGCAACCCAGGCATGGGCCCTGACTAGGAATCGAACCTGCGATGCTTTGGTTCTTAGCCCGCCCTCAATCCACTGAGCTACGCCAGCCAGGGCTTTCTAGATGAATTTTTAATCAATGTCACCATAGTTATATATGTGATCCTTTGTGACTCGCTGCTTTCAGTTAACATGTTTTTATGGTTGAGCAGTGTTCTAACATGAATCAGTACTTTTTCGTATAGATTTCCCCCCACCCGGCTGCCGAGTAGCCTCATTGATTCCTGACCAGCCCGTGGCCTGGCAGCTCTGGGTCAGGTTCCGTCCGAGCTCCGTGACCCAGGGGTGGGTCACAGGCCCAGAGCTTCCTCTCGGCTGGGGCAGCCTGCCCGCGATGTCTGCTGCCCCAGCCCTGTTACTGTTTGCTGGGGGACCTCGAGCGAGTCCCTATACTTTCTGGGCCCTGCTTTCCCACTTGGAATCAGCAGGTCCCTTAGACACGCCACACCTCTGGCCCGCCCCGTCCTGCCGCACGGAGGTTGCAGACTGCAGGGGAGAGACACGCATGCAGGCAGCAGGCTGGGTGCAGGACAGTCTGTTTCAGGCAGCGTGGCCCTCCCTGTCCGTCATCCCTTTTGCATTGTTGAAACAGAGAACGGCTTCTGTCTTACAAGGAAACAGTGCCAGGGGCTGACGGGACGTGGGAAGGCCCGGTGGGAAGTAGGGTTTCGTGGGATGCCTGTCTGTGTATATATCATCCACGGCTGCTTCGTGCCACGGTGGCAGCCCAGCGGCAACAGAAGCCACAAAGCCTGCAGGACCCACTCCCCGCCCCCAGCCCTCTGCAGAGAAGTGCGCCCACCCCCGTTCTAACCGCTGCGCACGCCGCCGATTTGGAAAACATAACAATCACCCCGTAATTCCACAGGTCAACAGTTCCCATAGTTTTTTTCTCCGGAATATCCTTCCTCTTTCTTTCCTCTTTATGCATCCAGTGCCAAAGAGAGCCTTTGGTTCTGTGTGAAGGTGGAAGCAACACTTACCCAGACGGGCTGCTGAAGGACTTCAAGGGGGTCCTGGGTGTGGAGTGCCGCGTCCCAGGAGACGCTCAAGGCGCAGGGAGAACCCGTGAAAACTATTTCACTCTGAGTAGAGCACACGCCCCACCACGATGCGGTGCGTTTTCTCCCTGACGCTCCGGCATCAGATGTTGGAGCCAGGCTGTGGCCTCCCGGAGGACCCCGAAGGTCCCCACGAAGACAGGGCTGCAGGGACCGGGGTCCGCCCCTCACAGTGAGTGTCTTCCCTCTGCCCAGCACCCAACACGGAGATGGAGCCCCTGCTGACGTGGAAGAAGGCCCAGGACACCATCCCCTGGAGCATCCTCCTCCTCCTGGGCGGGGGCTTCGCCATGGCCAAAGGCTGCGAGGTAAGGATGGCAGGTGGGCTGCAGGCCCGGGGAGGGGTGGGCGGGGCACGGCCGCAGCTGCAGGCTCAGCATAAGTGCCAGTGACGCCAGGGGCCCAGCAGACGCCACCTCATTTGCCAATTGGGATAATCATAGTTCCCACCTTGGTGCCCGGTGCTGCGACGGAGGAGAGGAAAAAGGTACGATTAGACCCTCAAGGAGCTCTCACAAACACTGTTACTGGTACCAATAACATCACAACTGTCAGTGTTCTGTGAGCACCAAGGAGCAATGCCACTGCACTCTGCTCGCCCGTCCAATGTGCTTTACACACACACAGTAGCTGACGTACACTTCCCCAGCGAGCCTCCGCGGTCCACACCATCACGACCTCCATTCTATAGATTAGGAAACAAAGGCACAGAGAGGTAAAGCAGCTTGCCCAAGGCCACACAGCTCTGTACTCGGGATTGGACTCCAGGTAGTTTGGTTCCAGAGTGTGTGCTGTTAGCCACTGTGATAGAAATGTTAGCCATTTTAACTATTAATTAATTATTAATGTTATTCTAGAGGGTTCTATGAGCTCAGAAGCAGGGCCGGGACTAGAGGGAGGCCCCAAAGGGGCGGGATTTCAGAAGACCCTCCCTCTCAGGGTCATCGGCCCCGCTCAGAAGAGGAGCAGCTTCAGGGTCCAGCACGTGGCATAACGTGTCAGCTCACTGAGCCTCGCACGGGCCTGAGGGTCCCCATAATATGTTAAGCTCCCATTTTTATAGGTAGGAAAACTGAGGCATGGAAAAATGAAGCGACCCTCATAAGATCATAAAATCACACTCTGCTAGGACCTGGGGTTCGAACTCCTGTCGATGGGATTTCAGAGCCCAGACTCCCAGTGGCTCGGTCGGTCTCAAGAGCTTCCCAAGTGCCAGGCACTGCAGGAAGCCCTCTGGCGATACTGACCATATTGGTCTTCATAGACACCGCCGAAGCAGATGCTGGTGCTGCGCCCCTTGAAAGACGAGGACCAGAGGCAGCCTGGGGCTCGGAAGCCTGCTGCGTCTGTGCAGGCAGGAGATGGCAGGGCCGGGATTACCGCCACAGCTGACGGTGCCGGGCCCCGCCGCCCCGACATCGTGCCGTGTGAGCCCACGCATCCAAAACCCAACCAGTGGGAGGGTGATCTAAGATTAAGGCGAAGGACACCTGCATCTGCTTCTCAGATTGCTCTCTTTTTAAATTCAACTTAAAATTTCAGGTTCAAATAGTGTTACCGTGCAAAACACCTATGAAGCTCTATACCAGTCAGAAGCCCGGGCTTAGGGATCCAAGTATCTGGATTGGAATCCGAGCTCTATCACCCCTCGCTGGGGTGCATTGGGCAAGTTCCTTAACCTCTCTGGGCACTTGTTTTCTCATCTATGAATTGGCTCGAAGTTCTTACTCTGTGGGGTGGTTGGAAGCGATGAAAGAAGATGATGCCGACGCAGTCCCCGGCACACAGGGAGTGCTGTGCATCCTCGTACCGTGGCTGGTGCTGGCTCTGCTTCCGGAAGCAGACTCTGTGATGGAGAAGCGAGCAGGGAATCATTAGGTGACTCGGCGACCGTGAGGTCATCTCCTGTGGCAGGGGTGAGGCAGAACCTGCAAGGCCTCCACCAAAGCCCTGGAGAGCGCCAAGCTGAGATAGCCCTTCAGAGACGTCCCAGGTGGTCCAAGATGGCCAAGCCTTTCTATCCAGCATCCCTCCATCATCCGTGGACGTGGGTCTCCCCAGGAGCAGGTGTGACCTTGGACAAGGCCACCCTTGAGTCTGGGGCAGACAGGGAAGGGCATCTGCTGCCCACTCCCCCTGCATTGGGGTGAGGGGCCTTTGCAGAGGGCGGTCAGGGCGGCACACTCAGGTTCCCACATGGCTACTCTTTTTTGTGAACTACATTTTTATTTTATTCACTTTTTCAATAAATAACATAGTTGCAAAATGAGCCAAAGGACGGGTGAGCAAAAAGTATTCTTGGCGTCTCCATTGTAGGAACTGCAAAGACCAGAGAGGTTAAGTGACTGATTCCAGGTAACACAGCTCATAGGTAGCAGAGCTGGGATTTGAACAGGTGTCTGTCTGCTTCCTCTCACCACTGCCTCCTACTGGAGGTATGTTAAGGAGGGCTTCCCAGAGGAAGTGACATGTTATCCAGGTCTTAAGAGGACCGTGCAATGCAAAGGTAGAAAGCATGGGTGTGGCACCGAGCCATTGTGTTAAAGTCACAGATCTTTTACCTCCTGGCTGTGTGCCTCGGTTTGCTCGTCTGCAAAATAGGAATACAAACGCATCCCGTCCCATAGCGTCGTTACAATTATTAAATGCGTCGATACGTGTGGAGAGCTTAGAACGTGGCCTCCAGAGCTGGTTATTATGCCTGGATACTGGGGAAAGAGGGAATTCAGGCTCAAGGATGACACAGTGGTTTTTGCCCTGAGCAATTCTGTGTAAATGGTACTATTTATGGAGATGCATCTAGCCCGGCCCTGAGGCAGGAGGCAGAGCGGTGACCCCACACCCCAGAGGCTTCTCTGAGCTCAGAGCACGGTGGGCAAAGCCTGCCTCTCGGTGGAGGCTGGGCTGCAGGGCCGCTGAGCATGCTGGGAGGCCAGTCTGGCTCCTGGCCCAGGCCCAGGAGCAGGCTGGGATTTGTGTTCAAGGGGAGCTTTGTGTGGCGGCTGCCGCCTTCCCCCAGGCCCTGCTGGTGTCAGCCCCTCCCAAGCAGCGCAGCCTGCCCCTGAGGGACCGGAGTGCTCTTGGCGCACCCTGCTTCCTAGCCCCTGCCCCGTGCCCTTGCCAGGCCTCAGTGGCCTCCTGTGTGGCTTAGGGGTCCTCACTGGGGTCAGGTGAGTCTGGGGGGGGGTGAACTCTCAGGTGCTGGTTCTGCAGGGCTGGCACCCGACCCCGGGGCTGACTCTGAGCTCGGGCATCTCGCTGACACCCACTTGGTGTTCTCACCAGTTTTCTCCTGCCTCACGATGGCCCCCAGCTCCCCAGATGTTTAGAGTCTGGCCCGAAAACTTCCGCTGGCCCCTTCATGGACCCGTCAGCCCCTGTCTCTCTGCCATCGGGGCCTCCGCTGCAGCCCCACCGGCCCCTCAGCGCTCCTCGGCCGCACTGGTCACCTGCTTCCCAAGCTCGGCAGAGCCTGCCGCGTTTTCTGAGTCTTGCAAGGTGTAGTCAAGGGTGTTTTCTATTGAGAGTCCGACTTTAGGCATTTAACTTACACCACAGCACCCTCCTGGCAAGAGCAGTCCTGCCGTTCTCGAAGAGATCTAGAAAAGGTGCTGATGGGAGTGGGAGAGAAGGACAGCACTGTCCGGCCAGCTCAGCCCCCCTCCTGTCCTGCGACGTGACCTCGGACACCTCTTGGCATCCTCGAGGGTCACAAGGAACATGATTGCACAGCCACGGCACTGGGTGACTTCTGAGGGTTCTGACACCCCTGGCATGTCACCACTTGATGCTACTAATGACAGCTGACATGTCCTGGGCCCACACCAGGTGCCCAAGCACTTTACTAAAATGCTGTACAGATTAGCTCCTTTTCTCCCAATAATAACCGTCTGGGACGGGTACTGCGATATCCCCACGTACAGGGAAGGAAAGCGAGGCCCAGAGGGGTGAAGCTACTCGACCAGGACGTGCCAGCTGGAAGGGATGAAGGCGGAGAGCATACTGAGTCTGACTCCAGAGCCCTCTCTCCTCACCCTCTGGCCACACCGCCTCTGACCTGTTGCTGATCCCAGAGCTCCTGGCACATGGTGGGACTGTGTGTTTCCAAGGAAACAGAGCTTCTGATTCCTAAGGGAGTGGGCGTGGCAGGTGAAGCCTCCTGGAGCCCCCAGGAGAACCCCAGGCCCTTGGGGGTCCTCTGCTCTGTGAAGCTGCCAGACCTCACTCTGGCTGTGGGGACCGAGCCAAGGGCCCGTCTGAGTGGCCGCTGGTCATTGGCTGGAAGCCTGTCGCCCAGAGGTCCGGCTACGGGGAAGTTCTTGGCTTCTCATTCATACAGGTCATTAACATTCCCTCCCTCCAGCCTCTCTCCATTTAACGGCACACACTGCTGCCCGTCCCTGTGCCAGAGCTGTGCCTCGGGGAAAAACCGGTGGCCTCGTTTCCCCTTGGAAGTTTCCCTGGGCCCGGGAAGGGCTGGGGTCCTGGCTCCGCCATGTGCTGTGATTTCTAGGCTCTCGGACAAACGGTACAGACGTAAAAGAAACCGCGTAATTTTACAAGGTCTCTTCTAGGGAAAAATATCTTTAAGCATGTTCATTCATTGGAGGTAATTTTTCAAGTCAAGTTGCAGGGACAGGTGTGTTAGTTTATTCGTTGAAAAGCAATATGCTGTGTTCTAGAAGCCCTTATGAAGTTTAAAGTTCTGGATAAGCAGTGCATGTTCTGTTAATCGTAGAAGAAACATGTGAAGGTTTTTGGTAGACCGACGTGTACTGGTACCAGAGGACACTGGGTTGATAAAAGGGCTCTGGTGACACACGCTTGATTATAAATTTGGGGGGACTAACCCAACTCTGCCTTCAGTCAGCATCTAAGCCTATGGCTTTGTTATCTTTGTAAAAAAAAAACAAAACAACAACACACAAAAAAACGCAAAAAACGAGAACAACAACAAAAAACCCTGGACCTGCAGGACACGGCTTTGTAGGTTTTTAAGATATTGCTACATGGCACCACCAGGTGGCAGAATAGAGCACCATTTTACACCTTCAGCTTAGCTGCTTTGGGATAGTAACAAGTGTCGGGATACTTGGTACTTAAGGACACTGTCTCCCAGGCACTCCCTCAGGCAGGAGGTCTGACAGTATACATATTGTATACTTGCAAACAGAGCAGCTCTCCGAGAATTCAGTGGAGAGAGCTTGGAGATAATTCTGCAGTATTGATGGCCAGCAAGGGGACGGTCTGACAGGTCCTTTCTCTATCCTGCTGCACTCAGCTCTGGGCATTGCTCTCTATATGGAGAGGGCAGTGACAGACTGGTGTGTCCAAACGAGGGCACCTGGGTGACAGGGAGTTTTGCTGGAGCACGTCAGCTTACAGAAGCACGTGGCCCTAAGTGTGAAAGGCATCTCAGTCACTACTTTTGGGTACCGTGGGCATCACAAAAGCTTTTCCAGGCTCAGATCACTCCTCTGTAACACAGGAACAAATGTCTAGCTTATAGGGTGGCAGGGAGGACTCGGGGGGTAATGCACGCAGGTGCCTGGCACCCTGTAAAGCCACAGTAATGCTGCTGGTTGTGATAATGAATAATAATACAATGTTATAACATTCATATTTGTGTTATCATGTAATAAACTTCCTTATTACTGGTCATAAATATCTTTATTATTTATAATCATATCAATAGTGTTATATTTAATATATACTTGATACGTCTATATGATATATAGTATATCATATATGTTATACATTTGATGCATATCAATATATAATAATTAAAAGACTAATGTTTTGTATAACATTTGTGTTAGCATTTTAATTAATAACTGTCGTCGGAGTCATGTGGAGATTTATCCTGGAGAATCTAATTCCCCTCTCCCATTCCGGTTAGAACTTACTGGTGCTAGGCCCAAACAGATTGTTTGGAGAACCAGACGGATTGTCTGAGGGTCCAAGGCTTTGGGCCCCAGGCCTGTAGCATACAGAATAGAGAAGAGTTCAAGAAACAGATTATTCAAGTCCAGGCTCGAATGCGTGACCTTGGACATGTCAGCCCCTCTGAACCTCGGACTTTGCATCTAGGAGGGAGCACTGTTGTCGTCACTATGATTGGCTCCAGCCCTCCCGCCAGGGCCCCGCCCCCCAGCGGTGGCAGCCCAAGTGGGCCGCGGTGTGAAGAGATGTCCCTTGCCTCCCCCCTGCAGCAGTCCGGGCTGTCCATATGGATCAGCAACCAGCTGCACCCGCTGGAGAACCTGCCGCCCATGCTGGCGGTCCTGATCGTCACCTCGGTCGTCATCTTCTTCACCGAGTTTGCCAGCAACACGGCCACCATCATCATCTTCCTGCCCGTCCTGGCGGAGCTGGTGAGAGTCCTTCAGGGGAGGAGGGGAAGGTGAGGAGGAGTCCCGGGGTCTCCAACAACACAGGTCAAAAAGCTCCCCCTGCTGGCCAGAGCTCCACCAGGGGGCTCCCTGGTCGCTGTTCTCCTCAGAAATGCACAAAAGTGTCAGAACCCTGATTTTAAAAAATATATACTCTTCTTTTCTTCCTTTTAAAAAATGCATAAACAGAGTCAATGTTTTCAAAGTGACCAAATTCCCTCCTTTGGAAAGCTTTCTAGGAAAATATCAATGACCAAATCTGGGTTAAGCGAAGGCAGGAAATCTGAGTGGTCAGATGACCCGGGGAGAAATTCTGATGGGAGCAAATGAGGGTTGCATTTCTCGTTGTCTCTCAATTGTCTTCTCCTGTGTTTCCGTTACTCGCTCTCGCTCTGCCTTTCTCTGTCCCCGTGTCTCTCTCTCTCTGTCTCTGCGTCTGTCTCCGAGTCCCACCCTTCCAAGTGTCCTTACCTCTTGTGTTTGTGTCTGGTTCTGTCTGTCTTGGGCTCGCCGCCCACTCCCGCTCCGGGGCGCAGGCCGTCCGCCTGAGAGTGCACCCCCTGTACCTGATGGTCCCTGCCACGGTGGGCTGCTCCTACGCCTTCATGCTCCCGGTCTCGACGGCCCCCAACTCAATCGCCTTCGCCTCTGGACATTTGCAGGTCAAAGACATGGTGAGTCCGGGCATTTGCTGGTGGGGCCCGGAGAGATGGGCGAACACTGAGGAGGGGGGAGGGCTTCTGCTCCCCCCCCCCGCCCCACCCGCCTCCAATTTCTGCATAGGTCAAGGTCATTCTGAGTGGGACCAGGAAGATACATTGTAGCAAAGACTGCCTAAGAGACTGTTGCCAAAGTTTGCTTCAGGGACCAGGGACTCCCCCCGCCCTGTGGGCACTGCTCTCTCTTCTAGCTTGTTTGGCTGATGGCTCTGTGCCCAGAATCTGTAGGAGAGAGGATCGGCAGGCCACACCCTGGGGCTTAGGAGTAGATCTCAGCGCCCAGCCAGCTGGGGAGTGAGACGGAAGTCCCGGGTTGCGGCCCTGGGGGGAAACCCCGGCGTTCAGCAGGGCTCAGGGTGGGGCAGAGCGTTCCCTCTCCCCCAGGCTCCTGGCTAAGTCCGCCCCTCCCTTTCTCCTCCCGCCTCCAGCTGCCTCTTCCCCTCCACCCCTGCCCGGGGCGCTTGTACGCAGACGGGACTCTCAGAATGCAAACAGCCTTCCTAAGCTGGTGCAGCGGAGAGGGAGGATCTGCTTTCACCAGGCCATGATGCTGGCTTCCAGGGTCAGGGACTCACAGGATAAATGATGAGAGAATGAGAGGGAGAGGCAGAAAGAGATCCCAGAGCAAACAGTGTGACCTGTAGCTGTTGAGTGACTAAGTGACCAATAAGGCGGAACCCAGTAGGCATCTGGAGGCCAAGGAAGAGCCAACTGGAGCCAGCCCCCGTTTGCCCAAAGCGTCGGCCGGGCTCCTTCCAATCCCCCAGACTGGCCAGGGGCTTGAGGAGCCCCCGGCTCAGAGCAGCACCAGGCAGCTTCCGGCCTCGCCAAGTGCCCTCCTTCCTTCACGGAGGACGATACCCTTCCCATGACCCCCCGGGGTAATACTCTTTTCACAATTTTGCTAAACCAACTTACATTTTTTAAAAAAAACTTAAATAAGAGTATTTAAAAAGAAAAGTTAGCAATGCACGTGTAAATGGAAAACCAGCATGGCATGCCACTGAAGGCAAGTCTAAAGTTAAATGTAAAGGGGGGAAAAAAAGCAAAATAATGACATGCTCTCAGATAACAAACCGTTGCCCGGACAAGCTTCCGGACCCCTGCTTGTTAAAGAGGGCAGTGGGGGAGGAGGAGGGAAGCGTTCGGGGCATGGTGGCCCCTAAGGGAGACCTGCTCTTTGAGGCCAGGATTGGAAAAGCAATTGAAAAGGGAGTACCTTTCTCACTGTGAGGGCCACGGCCGGAAAGCTAGGGTGGAACAGTCAGAAAAGCCAGCTGGGAAAAGGGTCTTTAGCCCAAGTTCAGATGGTATAGTCCTGAAGGTCAGCCTGGGCAGGGGGCAGGTGGGCAGGTCTTTCCAGCTACTTAAGAGGTACAAACTTCCAGAGGTCCAGGCCTTCCTGGTCAACTAGCACAGCCTTCACTGGACACGCTGTGCGTGTGCTGGGGGTTGTCCGAGTTGTGTGGCTTCGGAGAAGCCAGCTTCTGTAAAATGGGAACAACAATAATAAGCCTGGGGTTGCTCTCAGGTTTAAGCGGCCCTGTGACAGCTGCAGGGCGCAGCACCTGGCACCTAGAATCCACCCACTGAATGGTGACATCTGCGGCTCTTTGAGGGACAGCCTGGGGCAGCGTGAAGGTGGAAGGGTCTTGGGCGTCTGCCGAGCTGGGTCTGGGTGCAGGACTCTCGGGGTTTCCACCCGAGTGTTGGGTCTCGAGTCTGCGCTCTGTTTCAGGTGCGGGCCGGCTTCCTGATGAACCTGATGGGCGTCCTGCTGCTCAACATGGCCATCAACACGTGGGCGCAGACCATCTTCCAGATGGGCACCTTCCCAGACTGGGCCCACGACCACTTGGCCAACGTCACAGCGCTGCCCACCGCGTCCATGGCCAACGGCACACTCGGGACCCTCTGAGTCCTCCCCGGAGGCTCCCCTCGGCCCGGGCCCGCCCAGAAGGCCCTGCCGCCACCTGCTGTTGGGATCCGACAGGATGGCGCAGCTGCGCTCCGAGATCCAGTGAGCGGCGAGGAAGGGCGGCCTCCAGTCCTCCGCTTGGGTCGACAAGTTCATTATCTAGGACTCCTTCTCCTCTCCCGTGGAGTTCGGGGCCCAGGCATTTCTCGAACCTGCTTCCGGAGAAACACGCTCCTTTCTCTCTGAGCCAGCATGTGGTTGGGGTGCAAGAGAGCCCGACGTCGGCAACAATAAGCAACTCCAGGATGGCACTTGTCCCGAACAGTTGGGGCGGGAAGCTCTCCATCCCCAGGGGCCCAGCTAACATTCCCCACTGGCTTCTGTAAGGTGCACTCGGGAGAGGGCCTCCTGCCTTCAGGGGTCACCTTCAGGGGCCACCTTCCCCAGAGAGGCTTTTGGGTGGCAGCGTTCCTTCCGATCCCCTCACTCCAGCTGCTCACCACTGGCTCCTGTTCTGTTCAGCTGGGGCGCATTCTGCACCAACTGTTTGGCCATGTCGCCTGCCAACACCCAGCAGCAGGCAGGGGACCTTCCAGTCCCTGGAGACATGCACGGGGAGGGACGGATGACGTCCTGAGGACACAGGAGACTGTGCCAAGCTCCTTGCTGTCTCTCTGGGTTCCCAAGTGCATCGGGGGCGTTCTCGAAACCCCCACTGACATCTCTATCCAAACTTTAGGGTTCTCCTGTTTCATCTGATTCAGTTCGCCCATGATTCTGGAGTCGGGCCCCTCCAGCCAGGCCCCTGCTACGTGTGACCCACAAGGCCTTTGTGGCTGCTGTGCGCTTATCAGCTGGTCATTACGTCCCCAAGCTGCCCCGAGTGGTAAGCATATTTGGTTAGCAAAGGCCACATTTTTTGGGGGTGAGATTAAAGTCAAAAGATAAACTGGGGTCTTGAAAAGAGCCGGTTCAATGTCTCAGGCAGGCAAATATCATAATCCTCCTCTACAGAGGGGCACCCTGGGACTTTCCGTGAGTCAGTGGCTGGGGGGGGATCTCCTGGGGGGTTTGATTACTCCTGGTTCCCAGGGGAAACCTCTGGACACCTCTAGTGAACTGCGCAGTACCAGGCTGGGCGGATGCTCTGGCCATGTCTGCGGAATGAATGAGAGGCCCAGCATCAGCACCACCCCCACGCCTCGCCCCTCCTCACCCCGCACCTGTGAGGGACGAGGCTCCCTGAGCAGCTGCGTGGGCTGGGGGGGCAGTTCCCCGAGACTGAGCTCACCCTCTGTTCAGCGGGAGTGAGTCATGGATGTTTCCCTGGAAGCAGCGGGGAGGCTGGAGGAGAGGCCTCTGAGCTGGAGAATGAGCACCCCACCCTTCCCACAGGAGAAGACCTTCAGTACTTAGTCACAGTTACAGCCCCTTGGGGGGTGGGGGAGGGGAGACGTTCACGCACAGAGAAACCCATGGGACTTGTAACCAGATGAAACATGATTTCAAATACTTCTGATCGAAAATGCTATAAAATAAAGAATGTGAATCAGCACCGGTGCTGGAGAGTTTTTATCTTTCTTGACAAAAAAGAGCTTCAAAGCCCCAAGTTCCTGAACTGGGTCAGGAGTCCACAGAACTGACCTCCCTGGCGTCACTGTCTTACTGCTCTGCCCTCTCTGCTCTGCTCCAGCCAGAGGAACTCTTCTGCCTCAGGGCCTTTGCATGTGCTGCTCCCGCTGCCTAGCGCACCTTGCTCCTGCACATCTGCTTGCTTCCTCCCTGTGTGCAGGGCTCTGCCCAGATGTCACCTCCCCAGAGACGCTCCTCTGACCATCTGGTCTAAAACATCATCCTCGTTACTCTCCATCTCGTTATACTGTTACATTTTTCTTCGTATTTAGTCAGGGCATGGTAGTAGTTATTTTCTTATTGACTAAATGTCTCTCTAAAATATGAGAATATAAACTTTATTTTGTTCAGTACAGCAACTCCAGTGCTGAGGATGGTTTCTGACACATAGTAGGTGCTCAGTTAATATTTGGTAAGTGAACCTATACCAGAATTGATGAGAAAGCTATCACCCCTCCGGTCTGGGATCTGTTTGGTTCATTTCTTGGCTCCCTCTCCTTCTATTGGTTCATCAGACGACGTTTATTTCTCATGTGCTCATTCGCTGTCCCCGCCCGCATGGCATTTGCGTTCTAGGGGAGGAGTCAGGCAGATAAATAAGTAAACCAAATGTCTCTCGGGCATGATGCGGGCTAAGCAGAAAATGAAACTGGCCGATGTGACAAACTGACTCAGAGGCTACTTCAGCCAGAGCAATTCGGGAGGACTTCCCTGAGGAGGCGGCACTGGGCTGAGGCCAAAAGGAGTCAGCCTTGTGCTTGTGGTGGACGGGAAGGTGGGGGATGGCAAGGGTGGTGCAGGGTCCTTGGAAATAGACCAGGGACTCGCATGTGGAGTATAAGAGGAAGTAGGGAGAGACAAAACCAAAACAAAACACCTGTTCCAGTTACCTGTGGGTACGTTACAAATCACCTTTATATTCAGGGCCTTAAAATGCAGCAATTGATTGGCTCACGTTTCTGCCTTTGGACAGAGTTCTACAGGGATGGTTTTGTCTCTGCTCTGCATGCCGTGGTCAGGGCCACTGAGCTGGGAGTGTGGCCGGAGCTGGAATGTCCATGGTGGTCGTGGACCCTCCAGGGTAGTGTGGCTTTTCCAGGTGTCCAGCCTGGCCCTCTTTCCATGACAGCAGGCTTCCAGGAAGGCAAAAGCAGAAGCCACAAGGCTCCTTCAGGCCTGGACTTGGCCGCCCAAGAATATCAGTTCTCCCATATTCAATTGGTCAAAGCAGATCACGAGTTGTCCTGGTTCAAGGGCAGGAAACAGACTCCACCCTTTGGACTGTCTGTGGGAGGAGTGGCGTCCACGTACAGCGGGGAGGATGGTTGGCCATCACCTTTGGAAGCCTTCAGCCATAACACTCAAGAGAAAACTGAGTGAAAGATATAAATATGCCCTTCTGAAAAGGAATATCTAGGTAGCCAGCAGGTTAATAAAGAAATGCTCAGATCCCCTTGTAATCAGGTCAATGCACGTTCAAGCAATCAGAGCGGCCAACACTGGAACAGTGGGCAGTAAGCGGTGGTGAGAGGGGAGGAAACAGAAACCCCTGTGTCCCGCTGGGGAGACGCTGAACTGTTCCTGCGAGTCGGGCAAGCAGCTGAGGGGGTTGTTGTCTGCATTCCCCGTGCCCGTTATCCTGCTCCTGGGTTTACAGCCCAGCAAAATGGTCCCTAAGGAGGCCCGGGGGTGTCCAACCCGCAGCCCGCAGGCCGGATGCAGCCCAGGATGGCCGTGAACATGGCCCAACACAAAATCATAAATGTACTTAAAACCTTTTTTCCCCGCTCATCCGTTTTCATTAGTGTTTGTGTATTTAATGTGCGGCCGAAGACAACTCTTCCAGTGTGGCCCAGAGGCGCCGACAGGTTGGACACCCCTGTAGGGGGACATTTGTGCCACCGTTGTTTGAGGGGCCAACGAGCTGGAGGCCACCTGGGTGACCGTTAGTGGCGGCACTGTTTAAATGAAATGTGGCGGAAGCACACGGTGAGATAATACGGCCTCCAGGCGCGATGAACAGCAGGCGCGGGAGGGGGCCAGACACATATTCCAGTGCACATGGGGCGGGGTAGGTAGACAGCTGTTCGTATGGAAAATACAATTAACACACGCGAGTGCGAGAATAAACTGTGTTTTGCATACTCGCAACTGCCAACCTACTTTTGCCTCCTATCAAAAAACTCTATGCAGAGTCAGCAGGCAGTGGAATGGAAGCGCTGATGGTAAATGAAAAAAGTGGGCACCAGAGTCACTGCATGGAGACTTCGGGGAGCCGGGTGGGACTCGGCTCCGCCCCCGACATGCGTAGGACCTGAAGCGGCCCCTTTGCCGTTTCGCACTTTGGTTTCTGCGTCTGAGAAGTGAGAGCACGTTGTCAGGGTCCCAAAGGGAGTGGGTAAGCACACGAACCAGCTCATTTGAGGACAGTTTAGCAAAAGGCCTGGTTACAAGGTGTGGGCAGAGGATAGGAAAAGCACAAGGGAAGGCGTGGGCCCTGGTGGGGGAGGGAGGGCTAGTCAGGAAGAAGCACCCCCAGCCTGAGGCCTGGACAAAGAGAGGCCTGACGGGGGCTGGCATCTTCGGTCCCGGGGCACGTCCACTCTCGATGACTCCACAGGGAAAGAGATGCCCTGGATCTTCCTCTCCGCCCTTCCCCAGCTTTTCCGCTGGGGCACCCCACTGGCCAAACGCAACTGTATTAGTCAGAGTTCACCAGAGAAACAGAACCAGCAGGATGTGTGTGAATGTACAGATACCCAGGAAATTGTCCAAAAGCGGCCTGCTGGCAGAATTCCCTGTCGCTCAGGGGAAGGCAGTCAGTTGGTCTACTCAGGCCTTCGACTGATTGGGCGAGGCCCACCACGTTATGGAGAGCAATCCGCTTTACTTAAACTCCATTGATTGAAATTCAAATCTCATGGAAGAACGCTCTCACAGAAACATCCAGAATCATGTTTGACCAAATACCTAGGCCTGGCCAAGGTGATACATTAAATTAACCATCACACCAACAGAAGCTAAAATGCCAGGGAGTTCTTTGCTGCGGCCCTTCCAGGTCCACCTCTGGCGGCACAAGGCGGGGAGGAGAGAGGGGTGGCTGGGTTTGGGGGGCAAACTGAGAAAACGTGGCATGGAAGGTCGAGACCATATCAGAGCTGGCAAAGTAGTGGTCCCCAGGACCACCTCCAGCCCACAGTCAGGTTCTCCCTCCCCCACCTTCCATGGGTTTTAAACTATTCAGTTATTGCTAATATTTTAAATTCAGGAGACTTCACATTAAAATGTGAATTTATGTTTCTCTTGAAAAAGAAAATACCAGAAGATCTGGCAGTATGTGACCTCACTGCTGTCTGACAACAATTGTTTGGAGGGAGAACCTCTTGTTTGCCACAGTCCCCACCACTCCTTAATGTCTTGCACTGGCTGTCTTCATTTGACTCTGTCACCTTCCTGGCTTTTGAAGGCGTTGAATCTCTGGCTCCTAAGCAACGTGATCTGGAAAGTCCATTTCGGCTTTAGTGGTCACAGGTTCTAATAGCCTGGGGCAGCAGTTACGGCAGAACTTTCTGTGGTGATGGAAATCATCTACATCTGCCTTGTACCATACAGTAGCCCCTTGCAACTGCAATGCGCCTAGTTGGAATTCAGAGGGGCTGCAAGTATAAAACATACACCAGACTTTAATAACTGAGTACACAAAAAAATGAATGTAACCTATCCCATTAATAATATTTCTATAGCCCTGGCTGGCGTAGCTCAGTGGATTGAGTGCGGGCTGCGAACCAAAGTGCCGCAGGTTCGATTCCCAGTCAGGGTACATGCCTGGGTTGCAGGCTATGGCCCCCAGCAACCGCACAGTGATGTTTCTCTCTCTCTCTCTTTCTCCCTCCCTTCCCTCTCTAAAAATAAATAAATAAAATCTTTAAAAAAATAAAACATTAAAAAATAATATTTCTATTGATTGCATGTTTGAAGGATACTATTCTGGATATATTAGGTTGAGTAAAATCTTTTATTCACTTTGATTTCACTTTTTAGGTGGCTGCTTGAAAAAAATTAAACTGTATACGTGGCTTGCATTCTGTTTCTATTGGGCAGCACTGTCTATCTGGGACGATTTCAGCCGCGTCTCCATATTCTCAAACCAACCGCAGGGCAGCGACGCTCTGCACCCACAGGCTGTGAAACCCGATGACTCTCATACTATATATACCTCTCATTCTGATTCGAGATCTGAGGCTTTACCACTTCCTCGTCCGGTCCTGTCTTATGGCTCTGAATCCTCCACCCAGAAACCTCCCCCCTAGCAACGCTGGTTCCGTTCTGGTGATTCAGATGCCCCTTCCGGGCCTTGTGGGCCTTGGAGTGGAGTTAGCCTTATATAGGCAGAAGTGACCGCCTACATGTGCTGAGAAAAGTCAAAAATATCTCCCGCCCCTTCCCTCCCTGTGGCCCCATCTCTTCCCAGTCTCACACACCCACCCGAGGCCTTCAGGAAAGGACCCACGTGGGCCTTACCCAGTCGGCTCCCGGGTGCCAGCACAGAAACTGGGGAAAGTTGGCCTCTTCCCAGACTGCTCCTCTCTGACCAGCACAGCGCCCAGAAGTTTCCTGTGTGGGCGGAGCCTGGTCAGGGCCTCCCGGAGGCCTGTACACTCAGGTCTGAGCCGCCCGGGGCACGCTCAGGCACAGCCGTCAGCCAGGTGAGATGGGGCGGGCAGGAGTTTATCTGTTGTTAGCTGGGCACTCTGCATACAACGTTTCATGGAACCCTCAAGCAACCCCAAGAAGCAGGTGCTGGTATTCTCATTATAGCAGAGTCCACGCGAGTTCAGAGAGGGATGGTGTGTCGCCCAAGATCACACAGCACACACGGTGTGTGGAAAATCTGGTAACGAGCCTCATTTTCAAGGGGCTCCCCACCTCGGTGGGAGCAGATTAGAAGCTGCCCTTTGTGAAGGCATCTGCACGTGGCTGGGCACGGCCGTTTCCACCTGGACCACTGTGCTCCTGACCTTGACTAGCCGGCCCCCGTGGGCACATGTGGTTGCTGCTCTTGCTGCACAGCGGGGCTCAGTTCTCTGCCTGCACTCGGTGCCTGGCTCACCTTCCTGGAGTGGCTTGTGACCTGGGGAGGGTGGCAGGCTCTCTGAGGGCCACACGTGTTTCATTCAACTGTGTCACTTCTCCTATCTTGGTCACAGGACATCCTCCTCCAGGCCTGAGCAAGCGACCCAGGCAATGGGTCCTTATAAGGGAAGAATGCCACCTAAGGGTCAACCCTAACTGGCCCCTCCTGCAGGGTGGGGACCTCCTAAGGAGGCTGTCCCACAGGCAGTGCCAGGGCACAGAGATGCTGGGAGAGGACAGCTGCAAGTGTACCTGCAAGGCAACGACTGCAGCTGAGCCCATACAGGAAATGCACATTTATTGAGCACCTACTATTTGCAGTGCCAGAAGAACCATAAGGTCCTCATGAGTCCTGGGACTCCCCTCTACCCGGCAGAGCACAGGGGCTGACCAGCTGGCTGCGGGGCAGGATTGCTGGGTGTAAATCACAGCTCTGCCTCACACTAGCTCAGTGGCTTGGTGAAGGGACTTAACTCTCTGGGTCTCCATTTTTTTGCAATGAAGAATGGCAATCACAACAGTCCCTACCACAAAGGGTTGTTGGATGTAAGGACTCAATGAATTGGAATGGAAACATGTCTGGTGCAAAGCAAGTGCTCAGTAAAGGTTAACCATTATCATCATCATCTTTTAAGAGGGGGAAGGTGAGGCTGAGACAGATGAGGTGGCCTGCTCAAGGCCACACAGCTAGGGAGGGACACAGCTGTGCTTTGAAGCCAGGTCCCCGTTGGGCTGAAGACAGGAAGGGAGCTGGAGAGAAGGACCAGAGCCACTGATGGTTGCAGAAGAGCCTTCGCAGGAGTCCAGGGGTCTCCCGTGGGTCCCCGCCCCCTAAGAGTTAGGGCATGGAACCGTGGACAGGAAGGGAGAGAGGAAGCTGAGCAGAGGTCTAGTCCCAGCACTACCACCCGTGAGCCGAATGGCTTCCCCGAGCCTCAGTTTCCTCCTCTGTGAAATGGGGCTAATGCCACCTTCCCGTTATCGGGACTAGAGACGTTGCTTGGAAAAGGCTCCTTCTCTCCTCCCACACCTCCGACCCACGCCGGCCCGACCGAAGAGGAGGAGGCAGCTTGCCCAACCCCCGGGAGGTGGGCCCCGCGGGGCGGGACAAGGAGACCAGGAGGGCTTAATTAAGGGCAGAAAAGCAGAAGTGACGGGGTTTCCCAAGTGCTGGAGGACTCAGTTCCTCCCGCTTCCTCTCCACCTGTCGACGCTGCCTAAGGCTGCCGCCTGGCTGGCTCTGCGGCTGTTCAGGAGGCATGAGGACTCTCTGGGGGACAGCTGAGCACCTCGTCAGGACCGGGTAGGTCTGGGGACCTTGGGCACGGGGGCCACAGACAGGAGGACAGGCTGGCCTCCGGGAATGAGTCTAGGTCTCGGCTCGGCCCTTCCCTGGCAGCGGGACTGGGTGAATCCTCACCTCCCTGAGCCTCGGTTTCCCCGTCTGGGAAATGGGAGTGAGAGCACGGCCCCCCAGGCCGGCGTGGGAACAAAGGGGAAAAGCCACACAGAGGGCCTGCCGCTGTGCGTGGCTCGGAGGGAGCGGTCAGTGAGGGCAGCGGAGAGCCTCATGGCCACCCCTTCACACAGGCCTTGGCGCCCGATGTGACTTAGGGCTGGCTTTCCTTTCCCACAGCGTTGACAGGGGCTAGTATTTCACAGCTACCGGGTTTCCAACACTAATTATACCGCAGGAGGGGGGTCTAGCCGCAAATGAAAATGACTTCAGGGCCTGGGAAGGCCCTAATTCATGATCTCTAGCCTCAGGTGAGTCCTCCATGTCGCCCACATATCTATCATTTCCTCAATTCTTTTCCTTTCCCACTCTCCTGGACAACAACGTTATATTCCTCCTTTAACTTCAGGCTGCCATCGACTCTTCCAGCATCCTCACCGTTGGTGCTGACCTCACTCCCCGCCACCCTGAGCAAACAGAAGCAAACACAACTATTTATGACGCACCCACTACACGCCAGACACTGTTCTGGGCACTTGGGACGTGTCAGTGATCAGAGACCAGGTCCCTGCCTGGTGGCTGCCTTAGTGACAGATCATAGCTGACATGACACAATTTTCCAGACACAAAATGACCCTAGGAGGTACTACTTTTATTGCACCATTTTACAGATGAGAAAACTGAGGCACAGAGAGGTTACGAAACCCAGCCGAGATCACACAGATGGTGAGTGGTAAAGTGGGGATTTGAACCCAGGCAGTCTGGAGTCATGCCTTCAACCACTGCTGTGTTCCATGTATATCAGTTGATACTGATCTATAATTGGCCACTTGGCCTGTCCACTCACCATCAGTTGTGCCCATTTCCTCTGCCTTCCCACCTGTTGTGAAGAGTGGACGGCCCTGCTGCTTTCTAAGAGCAGCCCCACGTCTTGTGCTCTGGGTCTGACCTCTGCTGCCCACAAGGAGGTCACTGCAGGGGGCCTCCCATTCATCAGTGTCCCCCCTTCTTGGTTGGATCTCCCATCTACAAACCGGCCAGAATTTCTTCCGTCTTAAATGAACTCCCTTGATCACAGTTCGCCCATCAGCTACTGCATTTTCCTGAACCGTCAGCAGCATTTGACAGAGCTGATCACTTCCTCCTCCTTGAAAAACTTTATTTATGAGGCTGTTCAAACACCCCACAGCTGGTTTCTCGGTGTCCTGCCTGGTTCCTTCTCATCTCCCAAACCGCTGGCCCTGGAGCGTGGCGGCTCAGTGCTTGGATCTCTCTCCTCCTCACCAGCACACACACCTCTTGAGGAATCTCATCCTGCCCCGGGACTTTAGATACCATCAATAAACCAGCAACACCCAACACTGTATCTCTAACCCGATCTCTCCTCTCAACCCTGGACTCGTGTTTCCAACCACATTCTCAGCAGCTCCGCTGACTGGCTGAACTGGCAACTCAAATGGAAGACTTTCACCTGCATTCTTCCTCTCCCTGCTCCACTCAAACCTGCTTTAACCACAGATTTTTCTGTCTCAGGAAATGACCCCATGATGTTTCCAGTTGCTCGGGCCACCAAATCCTCTGGCCATGTTTGTCTCACACCCATGGCCAATCAGTCTGTCGGTCTTTTCTCTCTTCCAGGAACATGTGTCCAGAATCCAACCTGTTCTTCCCATTCCTCTGCTGGCACCAGTCTAAGTTCTAGAAGGGCGAGGATGCTTGTCTATTCATTCATTCCGGTTTCTCCAATGGCTGGCACATAGTAGTTGCTTAATAAATATTTGTTGAATACATAAATATAAGGAAAATAAAGTAGAAAAGTTTCTCAGAGGTAAACTAATCCCCTCTCCCCTTTCCTCCGCCCTCCCCTCCAAACTGTAGAGGAGTGTTCAGTGCCACACAGAGTCAACAGGGAAACAGTGTCTTTAGTTCTCTCTTTCATTTGTGCTTCTCTCTTTGTGACTCTTTCACTCCCTTGGGCTGGTTGCCCTCACAAAATTGGAACTATGGACACAGGCAGCTCCGACATTCATTCTCACATCTTCGGGAACTGCCTGGAAACTGGGCTCTTTCCTGACAACTCCAGTGAGAATAATCCCAGGGAAGGCTCTGATTGGTTCAGCTTGGGTCACGTGGGTTTGAGGTGCATTACTCTGATTGGCCCACCTGGGAAGAGTGCCTACTCCTATGGTTAATGGGATGGTTAATGGGATGGAGCCTGCTAGCGGATGAAGGGTTTGTGGGGCAGGGACCCGGGGCAGACACCAAACTCCCCACCCTCCTGATAGAGGTTCCCCAATTTTTGTATGTGCAGGTGCAGATTCTGGCACTTGGGACTTTCCAAGGCCCTTGTCCCACTTCAGGCTGCCTGGGTCGCCTTCTCTCAGCCTATCCCAACCAGCTGTGGCCAGCTGTTGACCCAGCTCCTCCTGTGTGGTTCCCTGGCTGCCGCTGCTGCCGGTCTGGCCCACCAATGGTTGGTGTCCTTGCTGCTTTATCCTCTGGGGCCCGCGGCCATGGTGTCTACTGTTGGTGGCCTCCTGGTCTTCCTGGGCCTGGGCCTGGTGCCTCCGGCTCGCTGCCTGTTTGCCCTCAGTGTGCCCACCCTGGGCACAGAGCAGGGCCGTCGCCTGCTCCTGTCCTGGAGTACTGCCACCCTGGCTGTCACCGTGGTGCCCAACGTCTTGGCCAATGTGGGCGCAGCTGGACAGGTGCTGAGGTGTGTCACGGAGGGCTCCCTGGAGAGTCTGCTCAACACCACGCACCAGCTGCATGCAGCGTCCAGGGCTCTGGGTCCCACGGGCCAGGGCCTGACACTCCAGGCCCAGGGCAATGGCTCTGTCTTCCGGCGTCACATGCTCCGGGTCACTCAGCAGGTCCTGGAGGACTTCTCTGGCCTGGAGTCCCTAGCCCGGGCAGCAGCACTGGGGACCCAGCGGGTGGCCACAGGGCTCTTCATGCTCGGCCTCCTGGTGGACTCAGCCCGGTATCTCCACTGCTACCTGACCGACCTGCAGTTTGATAACATCTATGCTACGCGGCAGCTGGCTCGGCAGCTGGAAGAGGCCCGGGCCACACACCTGCTGGCATCTCCACCGGCCTGGCTACTCCGGGCGGCTTGGCCGAGGCTGTCCCAGGGGGAGCTGCTGAGCTGTCTCCTGAGGCTGGGGCCACTCACCCTGCTCCTGATGGCCACAGCTGTGACGGTGGCCACAGACCACGTGACCTTCCTCCTGGCACAGGCCGCCGTGAACTGGGCTCAGAAGCTGCCTGCTGTGCCCGTCACGCTCACGGTCAAGTATGATGTAAGTGTGGTGATGGGAAGGCGGGTACGGAGCCATTTCCTTGAGGGAAGGGGTAGCATTTGTCAAATCCTTGGCCTGTGATTGAATTTTACTTACCTTCGAGTCATAGCCCTGGGAAGGGCTGAGACCCTGGGGCACCCTCGGATGAACTTAATTCCCACTCCAACCCGACACCGTGGGCTCTGTTTTGACCTCTACTGCAGGTGAAAATATTGATCCCCAGGAATGTGGCAGCATGTCCCAGCCCCCCTTTTTCTCACTTGTACAGATTGGATCAGTCCTCCTTTTCCTACAAGGGTATGTGAGCTTTAAGTGTGATAGTATCTAGAAGCACCTAGTAAGCACCACGACCCATGGGAGATGCTTAATAACTACTGGCCATTATTAATAGCTCACATCTGTGAATATCAGACTGTGTACATCAGGGCTCAGGAAGGGTCTAGATCAGGAGCCCACCAGCTATGGCCCACAGGCCAAATCTTGCCAGCTTCCTATTTTTGTAAATAAAGTTTTATTGGAACACAGTTCCCCAAGGGCAAGTTTGAGCTGTGGCAACAGAGACTATATGGCCAGCAAAGCCAAAATTATTCACTATTTTAATAGTTATATATAAAATATTTACTATCGAGTTACTCTTAGATATTTACTATCTCATCAGGAGTTGTGGGTTTTCAGTCTCTTCTTTGGCCATTTTACTGCTGAGGACACGGAGGCTCTGAGAAGTCAGGGTACCAGCCCACTCTCACCCAGCCTGTGAGTGGTGGAGCCGAGCTGCCCGGCGGCTCTCGCGGGCGGGCTAGGCAGGTTCACGGTCATGAACTCCTTCCGCCGTGAGATCTTTCTGTTTTACTGTTATGGTGAGATCGCACACAAAGGTCTATCACGTGCCACACACCGAAGTGTCAGACCCTGAGCTGGTAATATGAACAGCTAACATTTATTGAGTACTTAAGTAATGTAAGAAAGTGTTTTTCAGACTGCATGAAATGACTTTAATCAATTTAGGGGTCATAGTCATCATTTTTTAGTGAAATAGAATAGACTAGAAATGTCCGTGAGAGGATATTCTAGGTGATAAGGGCATGTACTGTCTTATGAAATTTTTCTTCAAGCACAGTACAATTTCTGCTTGGAAGGTACGATGCAGCGCTGTGGGTTACGATGAGGAAGTGCCAGACAGTGTCCTCAGTGTGTGGTCGGATGCACTGAGTCTCACCGTGTCTAAGAGGCCGTTGGTTACAAGCCACACCATCATTTCGGGTGCCCTCAGGAAGGAAAATGCTTCCAGTGAAGCCACTGCCCAACGCCTTCTTACCATTCAGAATTTCGATGGCATTTATATAAAATCGTTCCCTTACTTTTAACATAGCTTTCTTTCACCATAGTTTGTCATGTAGAGAAAGCAAGAAAAACAGTGAAGTTTGGTTGTTTTCCTCAAATGCCCTCCCACTCAAGCCTGACTTTTCTGAATGATTCCGGCTGAGCTTCTGCGACTTCTCATGCCCCACTGTTCGCTGTGCCCTCGCGCGCACTGCTGAGGCTCCACCTCGGTTTCCAGCATTTTCTTCCAAGCTACAGACGCCCGCTCTGCCGTCGGATGCTGGCACCCCGACCCTCTTAGACGTCAGGGACTGGCATGAGCACTGGAAGCAGTTATGGGTCCTTTCGACTGGAAGACACTTCTTGATCTCAAAGATGTCCAAGTGTGTAGGGGGAAAAAAGTGTGACCCCAGAACGGATGAAATAAGATAGCTCATTTAATGGTCCCTGGGGCCCTGCCAGAGAGGAACCGCTATCATCTCGTGTTTACCGATGAAGACACCGAGGCTCGGAGAAGTTAGGAACCTTGCCCACAGCCACCCAGCCCCGTAAGTGGCGGAACCAGGGCTGCGCTGGGACTTCTGTGTGGCCTCGGCACACCCATTTGCATGAACTCCTCCCTCCGCTAAAAATAGCAATGACGTCACTGAGATGAACACAGATATATTAATAGTATACAGTGAAACATAGTCTTCAACTGAAAAGTTAATTTTAAATTCTGATTTTAAAAGAAAATGAACCATTTTCACAGACTCCTGAAAGTATCGCGGGGCCCAGTACTGAGCTCAATGGGGAAATTGGCTCTGGGCCAAGCCAGGATCCAACCCACCAGTCTGACCCCCAAGTTCAAAGGGTTAACCTCTGACCTCCCTACCTCTGTAGACATCATTCTTCCTCCCTCCACCCTAACTCGTGGAAAGTGTAGAACCTGATGCTTATGAGAGGATATTAGGACCCGCCCTGGCTGGGGCTGTCCCCGGGGACAGGCACCCACTGTGTGAGCTTAGGGTCCCCATCTTTTAAATGAGGCTCAGGCTGGGCTGGACCTCATAGGCGGGTGCTAATCTGACGGCAGAGACATCAGGAGTGTTCAGCCACTGTGGGCTCAACAAAGAGTTCATGCCCCGGAAGCATGAATTTTTTTTTTCTAAATGGGAGCAATAATAAAAACTATTCTTCGAAGAGTGAATTACTTAAAGAGAAAATAAACTATTACTCTTCAAAGAGAGTCATAATAAAAGTAGCATTTGCACGGTGTTTTTCCTTTGGCAACAAGCCTGTCCCAGACTCCTGATCTGTATGATCCTCCCTGAATCCCAGAAGGCAAGTTGACTTCTGCGTCCCTTCTGCGGTGAGGGCAGGGGAGGCTGACCCGGCCCTGCACGGGAAGTGGTGGGGGACGGGATGGCTGGGCACAGCATGTCGGTTAACTTGGCCTTTTTGTCCTTTGTAAAGGCTGCATACACCGTCCTGGGCTTCATCCCCTTCCTCTTCAACCAGCCGCCGCAGGAGAGCCCCTCCTTCTCAGCCCACAACTCCTTCCAGTGGGAGCTCCGCTTCACCTCCCCTGGCTGCCCTCTGCTGCCCGCCCAGCGCCCCCACACGGCCGCCCCGCTGGCCGCGGGGGTCCTGCAGCTCGTGGCTTGTTCCATGGTCCTGCTGGAGACCTACGCCCGCAGGTTGCGGCACACCATCGCAGCTTCCTTCTTCAGGGCGCAGGAGGCGAGGAGGGTCCGCCACCTTTACGCCCGACTCCAGCGGAGCTATGACCGGAACCGAGACCAGCAGCCGCTCCTGCGGACTCCTTCCTGATCCCCGCACCCGGACCTGCCCGCAAGCACCCAGCATGGATACATAGGCCTGCTGCACAGTGGACGGACACGTGGAAGAACAGACAAGCTTGCAGAAGAGAGGGAAGATCTTTGGAGTCGCACCAACCTCGGTCGCAACCTTGGCCCTTCTGCTTCCACCCTGTGTGACCTTGGGTAGGCTGCAGCACCTCTCTGAGCCTCAGTTTCAGCAGCTGCATCATGACAATGATATGAGCTACTTTCCACATGGCAATGTGGTAAGGACAGAATGAAATCTGGGGCTTGAAAGGCCTCCATCAACAGAGACTCCAAGGGGAAGGCTCGGAAGTGAAGAAATGGCTCAGCACCCCACCCCCCACCCTGGCCAGGCGGGGGGGTCTGGATCCAGGCTCTCGCCTGCATCAACTACTTTACCTAGTCGTGGCGACTTCGCCTCCTGAATGTGTCAAAATGGTCCCGGAACTTATTTATATGCCCCTGAATCATCTGAACTTACTGATAGTAACCTAAAATGATCTTGATTTTGTAAATAAATGTATTTATTAAATTCTAAATTAGAACCAGGTTACTCCTTTGCTTTAAATTCCTTTGGGGGCTTCCCAGGCGGGCCTGCCAGGTTTAGCCAAGGAAAGCACAGGCCTCCAGGTTCAGTTTGGCTTTTCGATAAACAACAAACATGGGGTTAGTGTCCTCGGGACATGCTGTCCTTCTACTAGACATACTTAGACTGTGCCCATATTGACTGTTGACCTGAAATTCAAATGGAGCTGGTTAACTGTGCTTTAACTGGCAACTCTCTGCCTATCTAAGTTATAACAAATCAAAATTCCCTGCTCTGCGGGCTTGGCACTTCCTGTTTCCCCCTCCAGAAAATTCTCCGCCGTTCTCTCACCTGCTCTCCTTCACAGGGGCCTGACCTCCGTGAGTCTATGCGCCCTGACCCCTGGTTCCTTTGCCCTCTGGCCGTTGGCTGGATGCAGTCAACGGGGGCACTAACAAGGCTGTCCACAGTGGGAAGGGAGGACGAGGTCGGGGTATCTGTTCCTGCAGCCCTCTGGGCTGTTATTGGGCAGATGTCACCTGCCACTGGCAGGAATGAATGGGCTGTGGCTTCACAGCATCCGTGTCAGGAAGAAGCTGCTCCACCTAGGCCAGGAGCAGGATGGGCGACTTCCTGGACCATCACCCAGTGGCTGACACTGGCAGTTGGGTAGGGTGGGTGCTGCTCAGTTGCGGTGGGCGCTCTTGGGCAGTCTACCTGGGCGGATCCTCTGGAGTTGCTCAGTGCGCAGCCTAGGCGAGTATAGCACATAAGGCAGAACTTACTGGGAGTGGGGTAGTTCCCCAAAGGAACATTGAAGTGCTTGCTATCAGAAGACAGTACTGATGTCAGGAGGATCACGGCAAAACAAAACACAAAACGAACAACAGACGTCCACCGCAGATGAGCTGACCCAGGTCAACTGCAACTGGTGTCTTCTCCCTGGGCAACTAAGTGCATCCCCCAGGGTGCTAATACTGCCACCTATTGGCCACAGTGGAGACTGCATGATCCAGTATCTGCTTTCCTCTTCGCTCCCTCCCTTCTTCCACCCTGCATTTTCACCTCTCTTCCCCTTCCCTGCTCTGCCTCCTCTAGACTACCCTAACTCATCATATCAGGGATGGACCCTGTGCTCTGTGCCGGCCAGTATTGAGCCCTGGACGTGGGGACCTGCAAAGCTATGGAATTCAGACCCCGCCCCCCTCTATGTCCCTTCCCCTGTTTTCCTCCTATATCCAAGAATATGCAGTATTCTCCCCTCTTTTTCTTTTAATCCTCACCAGAGAAGATGCTTATTGATTTTAGGGAGAAGGGAAGGAAGGGAGAGAGAAAGGAAGAGAAACTTCAGCGTGAGAGAGAAATATCAATCGGTTGCCTGTCGTTCATGACCTGACTGGAACCGAACTCAAAACCTAGGTATGTGCCCTGACCGTGAATTGAGCCTGCGACCTTTCGGTTTATAGGCAACTAACTCATTGATGTTTTCCTCTCAAATCAATGTTTCTCTCCCTCTCTCTCTCCCTTCCTCTCTCCCTCCCTCCCTCTCTCTCTAAAATCAATAAGCATATTCTTGTGTAAGGATAAAAAATGAAATAAAATTTACCTATAAATCTGTACCTATAAGTGATATTTAATATTTATTATTTCGGTCTTTTCTTCAGCACTTATCTCAATGAGGATTTCTGTGTGTGTGTATTCTCATCTCTCTCTTTACAGACTCACATTTGAAATTCAATTAATGGATGCAGAATGCTTTTATAGTCCTCTTTCATTTTGTATATCTTTTATACGCAAATTGGAAAAACCATACATTTTCCTTCTTTATAGAAAAAGATCATTTAGGTGCACAAGTGGAAGTCCCTCTTCCTCCTAAATAATTTGGGAGAACTCGCTTCCAAATTTTATCTAAGTGTATATAGCCATAGGTATGTAAATGGGCATATCTTTATCTAATCATGTATATGTAAAAGATAGAATGATGCTTCGTTAGTTGTCGGCCTTTCATTTTATTTCACTTCGGATTAGATCGTGGGTATTTTTTATTACATAAATAACTTTATTCATTCTTAGCACTGGCACAGCACCCCATCGTGAATAGGCACCATAATTTATCTAGTTATTCCTGACCAAGGAACATTTAGGTTGCTCCTTTTTTCTATTGTAAACTGTGTCTCCATGAACATCCTTGTAAAAAGTATGTATGCAAATGTCGCTGGGGTGCTGAAAAGCGCATCCCGAGGAATAATGTGGTCTCCCACTGCTCTTCACATTTCTTTCACAGGAAGCTCTCACAGAATGAAAATCTCAGCAGAGCCCACGGGCTCTGAAATGAAAATACTCTTAGATGATAAGCAGAACATCAATCCATGACCACAATCTATTTAGTAATTAGAATGCAAAGACCTAGGTATTAACTCTACATTCTTCCTTCAAAGTAAATGAATGATCATAATGTCAGTTCTATAATCTCCTCTTTGGATCTTCATCCTCTTTCCTTTCTGGCAAAAAAAAAAAAAAAAAGCCAGGAAGAGAGGGCAGGGCACAATACACCATGGCATCCTATCGTGTTATGATGCATTAAGCATTAATGCATTAAAATGCATTAAGTTCCTGCATTTAAGTTATAGACCATTTGTGCTAAGCACGCATATTTATATGAATACACAGCTTGCCTAAAAGCAGAGCTGGAACAAGGATTAGGGTGCAGGCAGTTTACAAGGGAGGTGATTTCAGGAAGTAGGGATGAAGAAGTGGAGAGAATGAGATAAAGGAGGAAAGTCAGCCTCAGGGGGGTGTCATTAAAGCCACTGATATAAATGACAGGGATCTGATTGTGCCAGGACCTCTGAAAAGCATGTAGAATGTTCCCAGAATTGTTCTCCTACAGGGGCTGGAGGCCAGGACATTGGTTTATCACTGTGTTTCCTGGTGGAGTACCTACAAGATCCGTGATCTCTATCCCAACAGAATCTAAGGTTGTGGAAGAGTACAGCACAGATTCTGTAGCTGGGAGTGACAGTGAGGGAGGGCAATCCTGCTGTCATCCTCTTCAGTGGCTCCAAACTGAGTAAAAGCATACGCCACATCCTGGTGGACAACACCCAAAATTCTCAGGGAATTTTTCCACAGGCCCTGCCTTAGCTGAGCCTTTAGTAATGCATACCATAGTTCCACCAGGCTGGCTGGTTCAGGCTGATGTCACGTAGGGTGGGGTAGTGGATCTCAGGGTTGGGTGCCCATTATCACACCTCCTGTGCTATAAAATGGGTGCCTCCGTCGGAAGTAGTATTATGCAGAATCCCAGGTCAGGAAATGAGGTGTTTTGTCAGTCCTCCAAGAGAGGCACCGGTGCACTGTGGTCAACAAGGAAACCCACATGCAAAGGCCATGTCAGTGTCGGCAAGGGTGAATCACTGCTTCCAGCAGAGTTCAAGGGGCCTGCAGTAATCAGCTTTCCACCAAGAAGCCGGCTGTTCTTCTCCAGAATGACACCTTATCAAGGGCTCAGTGATGATATCTGGGGCGACAAGTCAACCTTCAGTAACAGCAGCAGCAGCAGCAGCAGCGAGACCAGCCGCGACAAGAGACAACACCGTGCTGTGGGCTCATGCATAATCTCTACCCCGGTTGTAACGGCTCCTTCATGAATGAGTTTATGGTCCACGCACTGATGTGGGCAAAGACATCCATAAACTACTAGCTTTGTCCACGTGGTCGATGTTTTCGGATGAGCCCTGTAATGAAACACGGCAGGAGGCAGACTGCTAAGGCGGCCCCTCGAGAGCCCTGGCCCCTGGTACACACACCTGAGTCTGCTTATGACATCGAACACCCATCTGGGCGCTGCTGGGATGGGGTTCTGCAGATGGAATGAAGGCCCCCAAAGAGGTGACTTTGAACTAGGAGGATTATCCAGATGGGTCTGACCTAATCCCCTTTGTCCTTTAAAAGCAGAGTCTTCACAAAAGAAATTAGATGTGGTCCTGGTGTTCTGGAAGAACACAATGCCCACATAATGGAAGACCTGTGGGGCCATGTGATAAGGAACCAGGAGTGGTGTCTGGTTGACATGGCAGCAGGACAATGGCCACCCCAGTCCTACAACCACTGAATTGAATTCCACCAACCACCAGTGAACTTGGAGGAGAACTCCACCCACCAAAGAACTTGCAGCCCTAGAACACCTTGATTTCAACCCAGAGCAGAGAATTCACCACACCATGCCCAGACTCCCAATCTACAGAAGTGACAAGATAATACAGTTGCCTAGTTTGAAGCCTCAAAGCTTGTGGCAATTGGTTACCCGGTCATAGAAAACTAACATGAACACAACGATCTTCACTCTGTGCGCCGATCCCGCGGTCCTTCTGCACTTCTGTGGCCTGGGTCGTCTTGCCTCCACCCAACCCCCCAGTCCTGCTCCGTCTGAGTCGCAGAGGAGCCAGGCAAGCGTCCCAGACTCCCCACTGATAGATTTCCTTTCATCACGAATCCTAGGATAGTTAACGTTTGAACCCTCCAACGCTTTCGTACATTCAGAAATGTCTAGATCGGTTTACCAAAACCAGCGACGGCTTTACCGTAGTATTGATTACATTCTTCTCATTGTTCCTCTATGAGATCCCTTCATATTTAAAATGTTCCTAGGGGTTACTCTCCAGCGTGTTTTCTGATGCTGAGTGGGAAAAGCAGTAGGAAAAAAATATATGTAAGATATACAGCTTTGGTGTTCATAAGCTAGGTTTTGGAGAAACGTAAAGATTTGGGGGATCATTAGCATTTTGGTGGACATTTAAAAGTCTATAAACTTCGTTTCTCATCTATAGTCTTCGGTGAAATTAATTGGCAACTTTTCTTTTTTTAGTAACCGTTCATAGCAATCAAGCAACCAAGCCCCATAATTAAAGCTAAAGCTCTTCAGAGAATCCCTCACCTAGGGGCTCCGCCGAGCAGCCTTGTGGGGAATGTAGTCAGGAAAGACATCCAGCCCCCTTGCGGGGGATCTTGGGAAAGGCGCCCAGAAGCCTCTTTTGCGCATGTGCCCTTCAGTGCCCTTGCGGGACGCACCTGCTGGTTCTCCAGGCTTTTTCGGGAATCGGGGCGGGGGATGGGGCGCATGTTGCAGCCGCGGAATCCTCCCATTTCCCTGTCGCCTGGCCTGGTGCGCACGGAAAGCGAAGTAGGTGCACGCACCAGTTAGAGGAAGGGCTTGCTTGTGGGGGAACTCCGACCCTTCGGGGTTCGGAGGAAAGGGTGGGGCTGGGAGGAGCTTGACCCGGTAGGAGCCTTGGTGGAAAGTCTTAATGCATTCGAAACACATAAAATAGTGTCTTTTAAATTTTACCCTAACTGGCCCTGGCTGGTGCGGCTCAGTGGATTGAGTGCTGGCCTGAGAACCAAAGGGTCGCCTGTTTGACTCCTGGTCTAAGGTACATGCCTGGGTTGCAGGCCAGGTCCCCAGTAGGGGGCGCATGAGAGGCAACCACACATTAATGTTTTTCTCCCTTCCCTTCTCTGAAAATAAAGTCTTTTTGAAAAATAAATTTTACCCTAACCAGTACTTTAAGGACCAAAATTAGGAGTAAGAGGTCTAGGGTACAATTTTTTTCTTTATCCCAATAACCATCTCAATTTCCATGGTTGGATACCATATTTTTGTATCCATTTTAAACTTATTTCAATTGCATTTTCAACTTTTATATAATTTGAAACCTATGATGTGTCTGTTAGTTACAAAACGTGAGCCATATACACACGTTTCCTTGAAGATGAAAGCAGACCAGACGGGCCATGTCTGGGGATCCCGCAGCAGCTTAGCTCTGGGGCAGCCACTGTTAATATATGGGAAAGCAGCGAGGGCAGAAAGATGGGAGAATGACACGCGGAGAAGAAATGGTAGATCGTCTTCTATCCCGTTCTATGGACTGAGGCCGGCCCTAAAGAAATTTGTAACATTATGCCTACCCTACTTGGCTGAACAGGGCTGAGTTGCCACCAATGATGATGGGAATAATTTGTGAAAGTGATTCAGGGAAGTGTAGTTAGATTTCCGACCCAAGGCCTGAATATATTCAACAGTACACACCAGTGGTAGGATGGACTAGAAAACTTAGCATTTATTAAAACAAACAGGAAATCAACGTATGACAAATAAGACCACACTACAAGTAACAGAGTCTCGGTGTCCTGAATCTAAGTCCTAAAACCCTTGTCATTTCTCCAAGTCCCCTTGGTTCTCTAGATACATCTGAGAATCGAGCTAATTGTTCCGGCAGGCTGGGCGTGTCTGAGTCACATCCGCTTAGACAAGGCAGCAGAAACCAACCCGTGACCTTTAGATTTCCCGTGTCCACCCTCTTAACTCGTCATACTTTAGTTTTTTGCCTCATGATGGTTTTTCATTATTCACCAGCAAAGAGTCTCCTTCCCTCGTGGTTTTAATTCCTAATTCCAAAGAGATAGCTTTTGTTTTCCTGATTTAGGCTTAGATTAGGGTTGCATCATCCCCCTACAAAAGTTTACAGCTTTAGGGGCTAGAGTCAAAAAAAAACCATTTACAGCTTTAGCGAGCTACCTCTGTTAAAGGAATGATTTTATTCATCCAGTAAAAATAGATTATGAGCAGACAGCAAAATGACTATGTTCTTTTCACTACACCCTTCCAGCTCCCTCTTAACCAACCCCTCACAATAGGAACTGCCTTATCCAATTTCAAGTTTTGGCTGAATGTGTTCAGCCATTTTTGCTCAAAGAATCAAGTCAATGCAATGTAAGAAGCACATGTCTGATCACATATCCCTGTTTCTTCAACATATATGTATTTATATTTCTAAAATGGGCCATATAGGATGAATTCATGCAGGAGAATTGGGCTTTGAGTAAAAACCTTTCCACACTGATCTCTTGGGTTTAATTTCCAATTTCTAGTAAAATAAGTGACGTATACCTGCCTTTTTGTGTCTTCTCTATCTTTTTAGGGTTTCTTCTTATCATGAACTTTCTGATGTCGAGCAAGTTTTGAGTTCATGCTGAAAGCTTTTCCACATTGATCGCACACAAAGGGTTTCTCTCCAGTATGGATTTTCATGTGTTTATAAAGATTTGAGCAATTGTTAAAACTCTTCTGACATTCGTCACATTTATAGGGCTTCTCTTCAGTATGAATGATTTTATGCTGATTCAGGTCTGAACCAAACCAAAAGGCCTTTTCACATTTGTCACATTTGAAGGGCTTCTCGTCAGAATGACGTTTTCGATGTTTAAAAAGGTTCGAGTGGTGTCTGAAGGTTTTTTCACAAACCGTACATTGGTAGGGTCTTTCTCCCGTGTGAGTTGTTTGGTGGCGAGTTAGATCTGAGAAACGGACGAAGGTCTTCCTACAGTTCGTACATATATACCGTTTCTCTCCGGTATGGATTTGTTGATGGCGTTGGAGGTCCACGAGCTGCTGATAGGTTTTCGTGCATTCGCTACATGAGAAGGCCTTCTCTCCTGTGTGAACTTTTTGATGTTTATTCAGATTCGAGGTGCTTTTAAAGGATTTTCCACAATCATTACACTTGTAGGGTCTCTCCTCAGTGTGAACCCTTTGATGCAGGAGGAATTTCGTGTATGGATTGAAGTCCTTGTTGCAGTAATTACATGTGTAGTATTTCTTTCTAACGTGACTTTTCTGGTGCTGATATCTGTCTGAGAAGGTGGGGAAGGTCCTTGCACAGACTTTGCAGGCGAAGACTCTCTTTTGCGTGTGAATTTTCTGATGCCGAATCCGGTTGGGTTTCTTGCCAGCATGAAATTGCCGATGCGTGTGGAAGGAGGAGAGAAACCTAAAGGTCTTCTGGCACACATCACATTCGTATGGTTTCGATCCATGGTGCGTGTTTCGATGCTGAATAAACTTTGAAGCTCTGTCGAAGGTTTGGCCGCATTGGCTACATTCGAAGGGTTGGTCTAGAATATGTGTTCTTTGGGGTGTTGTGAATGATGAGCGATGCCTAAAGGCCTCTGCATTTTCACCCCAACTGTGGGCTCTCACCACCTTGTGAATTCTCCGATGTCCAATGAGGTGGGAGAGGTGGCTGAAAGCGACGTGGCAGTCCTCGCACTCATGACGCTGGACAGAAGGGCCAGGTGTCGGATCCCTCGCAGGGAGAGAGCTTCGTTTGAAGGTATTCCCAGGTTCATTAGGGGCGTGGTAATTCACCAGCGCCGGTTGACACGCTAGTAGGAAAACAGTTCGAGAAAAAATAAAGTTAAACCTGGGCATTGCAACAAACAGTGAGATCATTAGTGAGTGGGGCGAGGGGAGAGAAGGGAGAGACTTCGGAGGAGTAGCATGAGGAGGAGTTTGCGGGGGTGAGGAAGGAGAGAGAAATGCTCTCCAAACAGTGCACAAGAATAATGTACGTGATCAACATGTAGCCTCGGAGAACTTCTCCTTAAACTCGAAAGACTTACATTTGTGACTGTAAAAACAAAACAAAACAAAACAAAGCAAAACAAAACAAAACTGACTTGTTGAAATTTTAATGACCAAAACAGAAAAGCTTAAAGAATCTAAAGAATCATGTGAAAGTCCCCAGCATGGATTCAAGTTTTATTTTCATTAACGTCCTTTAAAATATCTCTGTATAGAGATAATAATTTGTGGAAGTGATTATACTTTAACTGTTTTCCTTTAAGCAGCAAAATTGGGGAAATTTATACTAGTAGGTAGAAATCTGATTTAGCAATTTTACTGATATTTAATATTTTGATGTATGACAGGGTCACTATTGATTGGGCCAGTGATCGATTTGGGTATTTGAATTACACTTGTTTGTTATTGCTGAGAACACTAAGAATAATCATATACATATCTTTGCTAATTTGTGGAAATATATTCTAGTCATAGATTCTTAGAAAGGGAGTCCCCAGCATACACACAGCACACATGAGTAAATTCTCATATTGTCTGAATACTTTATTGTTTTTTAGTATCTCGATAACTCCAGACTCTATCAAACTTATGACCCCATAGTTTGGGCAAAAGATAAGTTCTGACATTTATTTTTTGGTAATAAAGAAATCTAAGTAAAAATTGGTTAATTGCTAGGAAAGATTATTTTTTAGTATTTCTGTAGAACAAATAAAATATTATAGACATATTTTCGTATGTATTAACCTACCATTAATAAAATGGAGAACTAGGGTCAGTTTCTGCTACCTTCATCATTCTAGACCTTGAAATGCTAGTGAAATGACTGACAAATAAGTGAACACAGAGAAATAGTTTAAAATATACCTATTTCTAAAAGATAAATAGGGCACTACAACATCAGACAGGATCAAATGGTAATAAAAAAAGAGCAAAGAGGAAATAACAGGTTTGAAGACATGTTTAAGTGAACTTAAGAGTTCACATTTATAGCAAAATTATAGAGCCAAAGACAAAACAATAACATGGAAAACCTATTTGGAGAACTCAAAGGTAAAGGGACTGGAGAAATGAAACATATAATTCAAAAGTTAAAACAGTCAGAGAGTTAAAAGCATCGGCATCTACTAAATAGAAATCATATAAAGAAAAAAAGTTAGAAGATTTACCAACTTCCGATGGCTTACGGGCAACTGGAATTTCTGGAAGAGAATAAACGGAGAAGGAAGAACCAGAGAAAATAATTAAAGAAACAACAGCTCAAAATTTCGCAAACACAATGAAAACTGTAAAGGCACAGACTCGGACACCCAACAAGCTTCAGGCATGAGGAACATGGAGGGAATCACACCAAGACACGTCAGAATCAAACTGCTTGTAATTGGTGGAGAAGAGGAAACTGTAAAATCAGCCAGAGGAAGAAAAGATGTTGCATACGTGAAACAAAATGAGTATGACATCAGATTCCTCACTTTACTCTGCAAGCATAAGAAAAAAACTTTTAATATGCTAAAAAAACAAAGCAACAACAAAAACCTGTCAACCAGAACTCTATGCCCAGCAAAACTTTTGAAAAATGAAGGGCCAGGGAGACAGTTTAAGACATAGAAAAGCTCAAAGAATTCATAACCAGCGGACTCACACAAGTAATTTGAAAAGAAGTCCCTTGAGGCAGAAGGTCAGAGGTACCAGATGAAATCTGGACCTACACAAAGTAAGAAAGAACGTCCGATATTGTAACTACGCACTAAATAAGAAAGGTTTTCAAAAATTATTTTCTCTTTGGAAGAATATTGGATGATTCAACACAAACAACAACAGCAACAATGTACTATGGGGCTTAGAACATGTGAAATGCAGGACAACAACAGCATCGAGGCTGGGTGAAGACAAATGCAAGTGTAAGAACAGTGGTGTTAGCCCTGACTGGCGTAGCTCAGTGGATTGAGTGCGGGCTGAGAACCAAAGTGTCGCAGGTTCGATTCCCAGTCAGGGCACATGCCTGGGTTGCAGGCCATGGCCCCCAGCAACCACACATTGATGTTTCTCTCTCTCTCTCTTTCTCCCTCCCTTCCCTCTCTAAAAATAAATAAATAAAATCTTAAGAAAAAAAGAAGAAAGATTTCAAATCAATGACCTCAGCTTTTACCTGACGATTTAAAGAAAAGAGCATATTACCATATCTTGCCATATATAATGCGCACCCACGTTTTTGGCCCAAACTTTCAGGAAAAAGTCTTTCATTTTAATTTAATTTAATTATGTATTTACTTATTTATATTTAGATATTTTTGTACTGTAAAGGAATTTTAGCATTTATTTTTAAACAACATGTTACAGTTCAAGAAAGTTTATGTAACAAATAATTACAAAACACAAGAACAGATACAAGGTATTTCAGGCACTACCCAGGTATAATGCGCATCCTTATTTTTCTCTCAAAAATTTGGGCAAAAGAGTGCACATTATATATGGCAAAATACAGTAAATGAAAGTAACAAAAGAAAGGAAATAATAAAAAAGAAATTAATAAAATAGAAAACAAGAAGTCAATAAAGAAAATAAAAGAAAAAGCTGGTTCTTTACAAAGATCCATAAAATCGATAAGCTTTGCCAGACTGATGGGGAGGAAAACTGAGACACAAATTACCAGCATTAGGACGAAAACAGGTTCTGTGACTGCAGATTCTACAGCCATTAAAATAGTAAGGGAATATTATGAACACATACAGACAACTGATTTTTTTTACAAAGGTGCAAAGACAATGGGAATGTCTTGTGAAACAACTTATATACTATATCCTGTGACCCAGAGAAATTATTACACAAATTCTCAAGGGAACACGTGAGAATTTGGTCAGAAAGAGTTTCGGAGACTTAGCCCTTGCTCAGGGAAAAGTTTGCAAAGTTGAATGTGGTGGACACACACTGTAGAATACCATATTGCACTAAAAAAATAAGATATGCTTTTTGTTGTAATACATAAACATCTCAGAACTGGAGATACATGGAAAGACAAGACATGAGATTCTTTGGCATGCCATTGAAATTAAACTGCATTCATATGGGTAAAACAGTGTGTATTTTATAACTGATATATGCGTATTTAATGGCACAGAAAAGATACTAGATGGGCGGTCCCAGGGCGGGGGTGGGGGAGAGTGACGTCATGGGCTGCAGACCCAGGGAATGCAAAATGACACGGAGCCTCCACTACAACAGCTGCGGGGGTTGCCAGCAGCTGAGCACGTGATGCACTCAGTCCCCTGCAGCTGACTTCCTCTCTCTCACCAGCACACTGGCAACGCTGAGCACTCTGATTTGTTGTATTCAAACAGGTGCATCTGTATGCACGAAACACAAAACCAAACAGAGAGCAGACAGACTGGTTTCCTAAAACCACAGGGTGCAGGAAAATGCTGTAGGAAATATAAAAGTGACTAGAACTCGATAGAAAAATGTGCCCAAAGAATTGAAAGGCCAAGGAAGAGATACAAATACATTACTGGAATAAAAGAGAAAGCTCAGAAGATGAATCATCTGTATAGAGTGATGAACTGGCTTCAAGGAGGAAGAGGAGTTTGGGCCAGGTTATTCAGCGTTGAAAGAATCGGAGGGATCCGGTTTGCTCGGAATTCTTGCGAACAATTCTTACAAAACCTTTGAATTTCTTCCTGGATTCCAGGACCACTCTCCAAAATGCCTACCGCATTTTATTCTGCTCTTCAGATCTAACAATGTCGCAAACTAAGATCATTATCTTTTCATCCTTGGACTCTCAGGCGTCTTTTAATGAGCTGCCTTCTGTATGGTGCACTGGGACTTAAACTTGTTTAAGTTCCCGTGAAATTCCTGCACGAGCATTGCAGTTTCCACTTTCTGTTAACGATGGGCGTCTCATCTCTCTCCAATTAGCTAGTAAATTTAATTGCTTTTCTGGTTTGTTATCTTAGATCTCACTAACCTATTATCTAATCTAGAGGGGGGAAAACCCTCTCCATAACTGTTTTTTTAAAAGACTTTTCATGACCCTTTTGAGCTAACCCACTCATTTATTCTAATCACTGATAAATTATCCCACCAGTTCAGCTATGCATCCTTCTGCCCCTTCGCGTGGTAATGTAAATTTCATAAGTTTGCCAGCGCATCAGCCAGTGTCCTGAGACTGGAGGTGTAACAAGAGGGGTGCAGGGAGAGGGATGAATGTGGGGTAAGGATAAGATTTCTTTGGAGGCCTGGGCCAGGGATCCCCCTGTCACCTCAGGGGGGAGGTTCCTCTGACCAGCGCGGGTGTGAGCTGTGATGGCCCCCACCTGCGTGTTGCTTGTCACTTACCTGGGCACGGGGGACTTGTCACCTCGCTCTCCAGCATGCTGGACAACTTCCCTTGCTTCAAAGAGGATATCGCTTCTGCCTTGTAAGTCCAGTGTCCTAAGAAAAATCAAGTGACCTTGACCACGCTGTGGCTATTGCAGAACTTAGACCCATATTTTTGATGATGATGAATCTCACCTCAAAATCTCTCAGGAACCTCCATAACACTGTTTTTGTTTAAAAGGAAAAAAAAAGGCCCTCTCCATTCTAACAGTTCTGCAGCTGTTTCCCGGGCACACGATGGCCGGGCTAGTGCGGCTTGGGAGGAAGGTGTGACGGTTTGGAAGACAGTGGAGGGCATAAAACAGGAGTCCTCCCAAGGCGGAGATGCCCTCCCTAACGTCACACAGCTCCAACGCCGCCCTGAGGAGTACTGAGTCGAAATTCAGTCGGGCACTTCCAAGGACTCAGCAGAGAAGTCCCCCCGAAGGAAAAGTCCCACCACGGGTCGTTTTAAACCAACAAGGAAAGACCTCCTCACCCAGAGACACGAGGTAGTCACAGTTATCCAGCATCACGTCCTTATACAGTCGCCTCTCTTCGGGGCTCAGATGAGCCCACTGGTCCGCAGAAAAGACCACGCCCACGTCTCTGAATTTCACCGACTCCTGAAATAACAACTGAGACTTCACACACGTGTACCCGCTTCCAGGGGGCCCTCTCACCGATGGGAAGTGGAAACGGAAAAACGGCCTTTGTCCGTGTAGAGCGCAGGAAGGGAAAATGACCTATCCTCATTTTTTTTCTTAAAGGAGCAGCTAAAGAAACCTACATTTGGTGCCCAGCTGGGGAGTCAGTGGGGTGACGCTGCCGCCTGTGGGACTATGACCGAAGGCCTCTGAGTTGGGATCCCGCCCAGGAGGAATGCTCGGGTCCTCCCCCTGCCTGGCTGCGCAGAACGAAACATCTGTCTCCTGGAGTCTCAAGCCTGCCAGACTTCGGGCTGGAACTCACACCATCGGCTCTCAGGCTCAGACTCGAGCTGCACCATCACCTCTCCTGGGTCAAGTACAGATCTTGGGATTTCCCAGCCTCCATAACGAAGTGAGTCCATTCCTTACACTAAATCGTGCATGCGCGTGTGCACATGCTGTTGGTGTTCTGGTGCTCTGGAGAGCCCCGATGGACAATCACTTGCTGACTTCCGTACAGTGCAGACTGATAAAGACTGCGACTGTATAGGCTGCGGCATCGCGGGATGCCTCAAAAATGAAGTCAGCTGGGACTGGACCCCTTTGGGCTCCAGTGATAATGGAGCAGTTGCTCTGAGCTACCCTCTCGCTGTGAAAGAACTGAAAAAGCTAGATATGCATACAAATCTCTGTTTTGATGCACTGGAAAGCAACCTGTCCACGGCTGTGGCCCTGGACAAAAATAAAGGCACACATTACCCTTGAACTGTCCTTGGTGGCATTTCTAGAGACACAGTGCAGGGACGTGGAACCCAAGCAGAGAGCAGCGGTCTTGCTGGAGGGAGGGAGAGGGTACTAGAGCTCGGAGCTTCCTTCCCACACAGCTGGGATCTGGAGGGCAGGGTGTTAGGAAAGAGCCCCAAGCATCTGTCTGAAAATTTCCACCCTGGCTGGTGTGACTCAGTGGATTGAGTGCCAGCCTGCAAACCAAAAGGTTGCTGGTTCAATCCCCAGTCAGGACACATGCCTGGGTTGCAGGCCAGCTCCCTGTAGGGGGTGTGTGAGAGGCAACCACACATTAACATTTCTCTCTCTCCCCACCTTCCACTCTCTCTAAAAATAAATAAATAAACTCTTTAAAAAAAGAAAAGAAAAGGAAATCTCCCCGGGTCCTTGGCTGACATTGAAACTGTGTCTGCATAGGGCCTGACTTGGAAGGACACTGCTGGGATGCTGAGTCAAACAGAAGGTTTGGGAGGTCATGCAGGGCTGGTAAGAGAGCAGGACCCCAGCCTGGCCAGAGGGGAGAATGGGGTGACCGGGCATGTAGTTGACACCACGTACCTAGGGTTCAATACCCAGTGCAGACGCTCTTTACAAACAAAGGCAGAGATACACATCAATTTAGACGTGAGAAAAGCTGAGTGACTTCTCTCTTCCAGAAGAAATAACTAGTTTTGATAAATATGTATTGGTCTGTATGGACTCCTAACAGTCCCCCCGCAAAAAAAAAAGGTCCAGCGAAGTCCTAACCCCCAGTACCTCAGAATGGACCCTACCTGAAAATAGGGGTAAGAGTTTTGTTTTGTCTTTTTCTTACAGAAGTAACCAAGTTGAAGTGGGATGATTAGGGTGGGCCCTAACGTATGTGACTTTCAAAAGGGAAATGTGGACACGGAGGCTGATCCGCACGGAGGAACAACCATGCTGTACGTAAGAGACGTGAGGGACGTGAGGGAAGGCCCTGTGAAGATGAGGCCGAGAGGGGGGTGATGTGCCCACAAGCCGAGGAACACCGCAGCACAGCGCGCCAGCAAACCACTGGAAGCTGGGACAGAAGCAGGGGTCAGAATCTCCCTCACGGCCCCAAAGAGAACAGACGTTTTTAGGCCCCGTACATTGGAATTTTAGGAAGGAAATCATAAGTAAGCAATTCACCTGCGATATTACCCTTAGGAATGAAAGAGCCATTTTCTCCTCCTCGGGCCTGTGTTCTCAGAAGAAAGCAGACTTCGGAGCAATCACTCCCTAGAAGCCGAGACAGAAGTATGCGAGACCGAGCGCCTCCACCTCCCACCCCCACCCCACATCACCACCTGCTCAAGCACACACACACACGCACACACGGGAGAAGCCAGGAAGACACAGCAGCCTCCCAGCCTTGACCTTCAGGTTCCCCTCTTCTCCCGAGCCCACAAGGTGCCCACAGGTGATGCTGCTGCAGCAGCCGGGACTTCAAGTATGTGGGGCATCTCCCCAGGTCTGCCCTGAAAAACCTCCCCTCCGCTCCCCCATGGAGCAGAGCACGAACTCACCCTCTGACCACGGCCGGTCCCAACGCTGCCGGCAAGCCAGCCTGCGGCTGAGCCTGCTTATGTGGAGCCCAGACCATCCCACGCAGAACCTTCTCGTTTCCCAATCAAGGCCAGCCACTGCCTGCAGGCTCTCAGCCCCGGGGCCTGAGTGTGGTGGGAACAGGAAGGATTAGGGGATGCAGGGTCCTCTGGTCTAAGGGGCTGGGCTGAACATTCCTGAGTGCTCTTTATTGGTGCCTACTGTATACCCCAATCCCGAGGTCATACAAACACACCCCCCCCCCGGGGGTTTGGGCGTACTTCCCACTGGAATGTTTGAAATGAGGGGTGGAAGCGTGTGGTTTGCAGAACAAAAAGGGGCCCATCCTAACTCCCAGAACCTGTGAATGTTGACTTTGCATAACAGAAGGGCTTTGGCGGGTTTCAACTGAGGATCCTGAGATAAGGGATTACCCTGAACTGTGGGGGCTGGGCCTGATGTAGTCACGAGGGCCCTTCTGAGAGGGCAGCAAGGACTTCCGGCGAGGAAAGGGAGCCGAGTCCAGGAATGGAAGCTTGGCGGGTTGAGGACACCGGTTCTCCCTGGAGCCTCCAGACAGCGCACGGTCCTGCCATTGGTGGTAGCCCCTTAAACCCCGCTTCCGAGTTCCGACCTCCAGGACTGCCAGGTGATGGATGAATGTGTGTTGTTTTAAGCCACTCAGTTCGTGGGGCTGCATTGCAGCGGCCCCGGGGACCGATGGGCCCGGAGGAGGTGGACGCGGCGCGGACGTGTGGAGCAGACGCCGTGCAGCAGCGGAGACGTCAGGTCCGGATGCGCACTGAGCACCAGGGCCAGCCGGGGCCACCAAACGCTGCAGCAGGAACAAGCCCAGCGGGGCGAGATGCCCCAGGCGGGGGCCAGCCCGACCGAGCGGACGGCACTCAGTAGGCCTGAGTCCTACTCCCCGCGTCCTCCGCTTCTCGTTCAGCCTCCAGGACGGGAACACTAGATTCCGAGGTGAAGGAGGAGACGAGGGCGGGAGCGCGTGAGGGGAGAGAACGTGCCGGAGGGCACGCATGCAGTTTGGAATCCAGGAGGTTATTGTCCCCGCGGACAACTCCAGGAGTCTGTTTCAAACAAGCGTTCACTGAATTGGGCGGAATGGTCCCAGAAGTGATCAAATTGCATCTTATTACAGTAGGTAAAATGACAGCGTGTCTCAGAAATTTACAGGAAAGAAATCCACGTTCCATATATCTATATTTATCAGTATGAGATTTGTAAATATTCCAATAGAAAGCAAGAGGATAATTTTCTCTAATGGAAAGTTAAAGATAAAGACACTGAAAGTGGAGCCGAGGCTGGAAATGGGGGGGTCGAAGGTCAGATTGGGAGGGGCGGCCTGAGTTTACAACCTGAATTTCTGTGAAAGAAGAGAAACACCACAGGTGTGCGTAGTGGGTGAAATGTGGGAAAGGCCGTAACAGCTCCTACAGAGAGTGGAGATAATCAAACTCTCACCTAAGAAGGTGCAGTGCAGACCAGAGGCTGGAGCTGGAGACCCCCGAAGAGCTGGAGTTGCTTCTCAGAAATCTGCCCACCGCCCTGAGGTTTTTCAGATCTCCTAGTGTATACTCGTGGTCCTGTGGCTTGGGAGGAAGTGCAGCAATACCACGTGATACTACGTTCTGATGAGACAGACGGAGCGTGTAGGTTCGGTGACACGGTGTAGATCCCCAGTTCCTTGTAATGAAACTAGAGTCTGAAACCCGTTCTTCCAAAATCTCGGGCCAACTTCTTCCACGAGAGCAATTTTGTTGGATCACAGCTTAATAGCTCCTCAAAAAGGTGACCATGGATATCTAATATAAAGGATTCGTATAACAAAATAACAAAAAAAAAATCGAAAGAAAACTGGACATGTGTTTAACACTGTAATATTCAGACATTCCAAGATAAATATGAACAAACCTTTCATGACTGTCACTTTGATTGCGTTGAAAACACTGTGCTATTAAATGTAGCACATTCTTTATAAAGGGATATATTAAAACTTGGAAAAATTCAACATAAAATGATTTTACCTGAAGTTCCTCAATATCTTTGAATGACCAAAAATTCATAATGGACGCGGTTTTATTTCTTCTTAAAATGTGAAGTGCAAAAGTTAATTCAGAGGCTGAAACTGGCTTACAGCAAGTAAAAAAGCCCAAGTAAACAAGGAAATAAGTAGGGACAGAAGAAGAATATTCGCTTTGGCTTTTTTTTTTTTAATAAGGAGCCTATTATTCTGACAAATCTAGTGATGGCCTATTTGGAATGCCAGCTTTTCAGAGTAAGTTTCTTCAGTCTGGTATTTAGTTGGGTTGGCTTTTTTTGTTTGTTTTGATTTTCATTTTCTTCCCTGTCATTTGGATTCAAGTGTGGGAGTGACATGCACTGATGAGGGTCATCTTGGACATCATTACAGGCATGACATTTAATTTGCTTTAGCCCTGGGTTTTAGGGGCCAAAGTCAGATGACAAAGGAGGTTTGCCGCATGTGAGTCTTAAGTCTTTGCTTTGTCTCACGGACTTAGGAATGCGTGGGCTACCTCAGGTCTCCGCAACGTCTCTGTTTTCATGAGTGTCTTTGTAATCTCATTTCTATTCCCTCAGCTACTTCTCAAATACATTTCAGTTCTTTTTCAGCCACCTGCTGTTACAGTTCCAGTTTCTCCAACTTGAATTCAATCCAAGTGGCCTGGGTCTGGTGTTGAGTGTCTGTCTGAACTTGAACTTGGAGAAGCACGTGTGTAGTATTTAGGTTATTAGTGAATTACACCTGCGAGGCTCATCTGGGACTACAAAACCAGATTTTCTCTGTAGAAGCCTTAGTGGTGTCTGAGAGAAGAGCGATAGACAAGCAAGAGTAATTGAGTGTCATGTTCCCCAAATTGTCCAGGCATCAGGATCACATCCAAGAGTCTTGTTAAATTACATCCTTTGCCTTAGACTGGACAGGGAAACTTTGTGATTGAAAGAGTTTACCCAGCAACGTGTGATAGGTTCTGAGTTTGTGTCGGAAATCTGTTAGGTAGCGGATACGAGAAAGGTTTGCATTTATTTATTAGGCCGTTAAGAAATGTAGTGACTTTCAAGTAAAACATTACCATGTTCTGAATGGAATTCTAACAGCCCTATGTTGCAATAAGTCAACATCATCATTTTTCTCTGAATATATCTAAGAAGAATGATACTTCCATGAGGCCAGGTGTCACAGATGTTACAGACATTCAGACAAAAGGGTAGAAACATGTTGTCACCCCCAACATTTTCATTTGGATTACATTTGGATTACACCAATCACTCAGTTTTGGTTTCATAATCAAGGAGCAAATCAATTACTTTCTTTTGGTCTCTGTGCTGGTATATAGAAGTTTTCTCCAACCGTTTTTTTTTAAAGATTTTATTTATTTATTTTTAAAGAGGGAAGGGAGGGAGAAAGAGAGAGAAACATCAATGTGCGGTTGCTGGGGGCTGTGGCCTACAACCCAGGCATGTACCCTGACTGGGAATTGAACCTGTGACACTTTGGCTCGCAGCCCGCACTCAATCCACTGAGCTACGCCAGCCAGGGCTTCCAACAGTTTTTTAAATTTTTTTATTAATTTGAGAGAGAGAAAGGAAGGGGGGGAGAGAGAGAGAGAGAGGGAGGGAGGGAGGAATGTCAATTTGTTGTTCCACTCACCTATGCATTTATTAGTTGACTCTGGTATGTGCCCTGATAGGGAATCAAACCTGCAAACTCGGAATATTGGAATGATGCTCTCGCCAACTCAGCTACCTGTCCAGGGCCTCTTCAGTAGTTTTAATCCCAGAAATATAGAGCTCACATCACTTAGTCGTGTCTACTTGTATTGGGTGTATAGTTTTCCACACAAAACCTTTTTATCATTTAACGTATTGCCTTTGTTTTAAAAAAGTTTATTCATGATCTAACTTCAATGAATAAAATAATCTAGATAAAATCAAGTACTTTTATTTTATTCTTCTTCTTAGCTTTCTTCTCTCAGTAGAGGGAATAGGATAAAGGCAATGCTTTGGCTTATTTCAGATCCGAGACCCAGCATTCTCAGTCCCTGCTCTGGAGGGGGTTCCAAGGTCACGGGCGCACACAAAGTGAGGCAGAACGTACACTTGTAATCGAACAATGCTGTTTCCTTGCCAAGGTTGTTCTTAAATTTTATACACTGTTTTTTTTTAATACAGCATGAATTTTGATGAAGAACCGTGGGATATTGTAATCACTATGGGAAGATATTTAGCTATAGACAGGGTCTCTCTGGACGGATTCTCCAGTGTTTCATACAGAAGATGCAGAGGCTGGAGGCCTACCTGTCGTTACCGGGGCTTGGGGAGTTCTATTTCTCTGAGTTTTTTGATGTTGAAGAAAGTAGGACCTTCTTTTGGAAGCTTTTTCACACGGATTATAAACAACGGGTTTCACTTCTGGTTATGTTCTTCTGTGACAGCTAAGGTCAGCTGCATTTCTGACGGTCTTGTCACACTGGCTGTCTCCATATGGCTCTTCCCCAGCGTGAGTTCTTCCATGCTGGATAAGATCATAGGTACCGCTAAAATCATGGCCACACATGTGACCATGAAAACCTTTGTCTCCAGTGTTAATTTTTACTGCCGTTTCAGGACTTCTTGGCTAAAGACCTTTCCACACGGATCACACTTGAAGGATTTCTCTTCAACAAGAGTTCTCGGAAGTTGACTAAATTGCGAGTGCAGTTTAAAGCACTTTTCCCATTTGTCACATTCGTGTAATGTTGGGTCGGCATGCGTGTGCCAGGGGTCAGTAAGCTTTGAAACATTATCAAAGGTACTGTTTCCCTGGAGTATGAATTCTACTGCGGCATTTCAGGGCTGCCTGTTGGCTAAAGGCCTTTCCTCATCCATCGGGTCTCTCTCCAATGTGAACTCTCTGATGTCTAATAAGGACTTTGTAAAATTTGAAGGCCTTGTCACCTGCATCATCACATTGGTGTGGTTTTGATCCTGTGTGCCTTTCTCTTTTTTAAATATTATTTATTTATTTATTTTTAGACAGGGGAAGAGAGAGAGAGAGGGAGATAAATATCAATGTGTGATTGCCTCTCGCATGTCCCCCCCGCCCCGGGGACCTGGCCTGCAACCCAGGCATGTGCCCTGACTGGGAATCGAACTAGCGACCCTTTGGTTTTCAGGCTCGCACTCAACCCACTGGGCCACACCAGCCAGGGCCCCGAATGCTTTTCTGATGTTGCATACACTTGGAAGGTGAAAGTATTTTCACAACCATTACAGCCGAAGACTTGCTCTGACGCACGCGTGCTTTGCTGAGCAGTAGCTGATGAGGGATGCCCGCAGGCCTCAGCACACCCGCCGTGTCTGTGTGGCTTCGCTACTGTGTGAGTTGTCTCAGGTCAATGTGTGAGATGTGCTGAACGCCATCCTGCAGCCATCGCAGGGCTTCGCATCCCACTGTGGCGTCTGTGCTGTGCATTCCACTGTGAGCCCTGTCTGCAGGTGCGCCCGAATCCATTGAACAGCGGGGAGTAAAAATCCAGAGTTGGTTGGCGTGTGAATGGGGAGATGGCAAGGGAGTGAAATAGAATTAGACTAGCACTCATGAATCACAATGACTTACTGTTTGTGTGTGTGGGGATGTGGATGATACGGGGACACAATGGTCGTAGGCTGAGGAAGTGACAGTATGTCATTGAGAGGTGGCAGTGTACAGGGCAAAGTGTGTAGCACAGCTATGCATCTTAAAGGCATTTAAAAGCAACATTCAAGCCCTGGCTGGCGTAGCTCAGTGGATTGAGCGCGGGCTGCGAATCAAAGCATTGCAGGTTTGATTCCCAGTCAGGGCACATGCCTGGGTTGCAGGCCATGACCCCTAGCAACTGCACATTGATGTTTCTCTCTCTCTTTCTCCCTCCCTTCCCTCTCTAAAAATAAATAAATAAAATCTTTTAAAAATTTTTTTTAAAGTAACATTCAGGCTTTTATAAATAATAAGGAGGCACTGGCATAATTTTTTCTTTGAACTGAAGATAATTTGTTCTCTAAGAATTACCTATTAAAATTTTTACGCTCAAAACAGTGTTGCAGTCAATAGATAAAATGTTCTTTGGGGTTTAATTTCAAGTTTTGAGCCACAGATTTTAATGAATTAGTATGTGGTTAGATATAAATACAGTACATTGGTTTTAATGCTGCTTGAATACTGACAAGGAGAGCGCCGTGCTACACTCACCCATGGATTTATTGCATCAAATGAGAATGATGTCCCTTTGTTAATGTAACGGGTGATTTGCTAACTTGTGTATAGATTTTTGTGAATTTGATCATCAATACAATATATTTAAGGTCCTAGAATTAGGCTTTTTCAAAAGAGGTAGCAAATTATATATTTGCCACAATTTGAAGCACAAAACTCAAGTAAATTCTTATCAACTTGTATTCTAAACCTTCATATGTACAAGGGTGTATCATTGCTATCACAATTCCTACAACCCCTGGGTTCTACCAATGTTTTCTATTTTTGTTCATCTAATACTAACTTTTATCATTGACCTTTTTTTCCCAAAAGACGTTTTAAAATTGAATTTATTGGGGTGGCACTGGTTAATAAAATGATACCAGTTTCAGGTGTACAGTTCTATAGCGTGTCATCTGTGCATTGCGCTGTGTATTCACCACCCAAGTCACGTCCCCTCCCGTCCCCACTCATCCCCTCGACCCTCTTCTCCCTTCCCCCACCCCCTTTCCCTCTGGTAATCACCATCCTGTTGTCTGTGTCTCTGTTTGTTTTTTTTTTTTTTCTTTGCTTAATCCCTTCACCTTTCTCACCCAGCCCCCAACCCCCTTCCTCTCTGACTCCCCTTCTGGGAATGCATCCAAAGCAGCCCGAGACACTAGAAAGAATGTGTGTAACCCTAACTTCATTGCAGCGTTATTTACAATAGCCAAGATTTGGTATCATTGATCTTTTTGTTTACATTTATTTAGTTGCTAGAAAAAATACGTTTGGTTTTTGCTTCATGAAATAAAGCAAAGCAAATTACAAAAAAAAAAAAACAAAGTAAATGTAAGACTCTCCTCCTCTAAGGAAAAAATGTCATTAGCATAGTGTCCTGTTACTTGGCCCACGCCCTAACAGGGCGCGCACAATGGCTACTCGGGGCTCAGGCTGCCGGGTAAGAAACTGCTACCATAAACCACGATCAGGAAAGACCTTTAAAAATAAAGTGGAGCTGCTGCATATAAATACTGTAGATAGTATAAACAGAAGAACAATCAGATAGAGACAAGTAGTAAAATGGGAAGTCCATGAATAATTTAGAAAAATCCAAACTAGATTTCAAAATATTAAAATTAAAACAAATGGCCCTGGCTGGCATAGCTCAGTGGATTGAGCGTGGGCTGCGAACCGGGCATCGCAGGTTCGATTCCCAGTCAGGGCACATGCCTGGGTTGCAGGCCATGGCTCCCAGCAACTGCACGTTGACGTTTCTCTCTCTCTCTCTCTCTCTCTCCCCCTCTTCCCTCTGTAAAAATAAATTTAAAAAATTAAGACAAATGTAAAATACAGAATAAAAGAAAAAATTAGATGCAGGGGAGAAAATTCTCTAGAATGCCTGAATACTTCCCGGAAATAGCATATGAGTCTTGGAGGACAGATTTTTTTTCCCTTTCAGCACTTCAAAAGTATCAACTCATTGCTTCTGGACTCAATTGTTTCTGAAAAGTCAGGTGTAAATTATATTGTTGTTCTTGTACATGAAATGTCATTTTTCTCTAGCTGATTTCAAGATTTTCTCTGTCTTTGGCATTCAACATTTTCATAATGATATATATAGTTGTGGGATTCTCTGTATTTTTTTAAATGTGGAATTTGTTAAGCTTCTAGTATATGCAGGTGACTGTTTTCCACCAAATTTGGGATCTTTCTGGTCATTATTTCTTCAGATATTTTTCTTTTTCTTCTCTCCTCTCCTTCTAAGTCTTCTATTATACATGCATGGGTGTGTTTGATGGTATTCCACTGGTCTTCGATGCTCTGTTCATTTTTTTCATTCTGTTCTTGCTATTCTTCAGAGTAGGTGATTTCTATTGCTGTATCGTAACATTTGCTTTCTGCCAAATTCTTTCTTCTGCCACTCACATCTACTGCTGAGCTCTTGTAGTGAAATATTCACTTCAGTTAAGGTGCTTTTCTTTCTTTTTTTTTTTTCAGTTAAGGGACTTTTCAAATTCAGAATTTTTCATTTTCATAACTTCTATTTCTATTGCTATTCTTTTTTTTGGGGGGGGGGGTGGAATGTCCCTGATAAGACCAGGATAATGATGATCCATGCTGGTACGGTTTAGGGAGACAAACTTGCTGGGTTCTAAACCCCAGCCTGCCACTGAGATGCGATCTTACCTTGAAGAAGTTATTTAATCCATGTAATTC